GTCTAAAAAAAAAAAAAAAAAAAAAAAACCTGTTCTAAGTGTATAGTTTGATGATTTTTGGTATATTCAGAGTTGTGCAACATGAATGTTTTCATTACCCCAAAATGAAACCCTATATCCATTAACAGTCAGTCCTTGTGCCCAGTTCCTCCCAGTTTGTAGCAATGACCAATTTACTTCATGCTTTTATGTTATTTGCCTGTTCTGGATATTTCATATGCATGGAATACAATATGTAGCCTTTTGTGTCTAACTTCTTTCTCTTAGTATAATGTTTTCAAGGTTCATCCCTGTCTTAGCATGTATCAGTCTCCACTCATTGCAGTCTCCACCTCCTGGGCTCAAGCCATCTCTACCTCAGCTTCTTGAGTACCTGGGACTACAGGTGCATGCCACCACACCTGGCTAATTTTTGTATTTTTTGTAGAAACAGGGCTTTGCTGTCTTGCTCAGGCTCTTCTCGAACTACTAGGCCCAAGGAACCTGGCCACCTCAGCCTCCCAAAGTGCTGGGATTACAGGTGTTGGCCATCATGCCCAGCCCATATTAATTCTTTATTCCTTATAATTGTCAAATAATATTCCATTGTACGTATCCACCATTTTATTTATCTGTTGTTCAGTTGGTGGACATTTGCATTGTTTCTGCTTTTGCATTGTTAGGAATAATGCTGCTGTGAACGTTCATGTACAAGTTTTGTGCGAACATATATTATCAGTTCTTTTATATGTATACATCTAGGAGTAGAATTGCTGAGTCATATGATTTCTCCATACTAACTTTGAATAATTATCAAACTGTTTTACAAAGTGGCTGCACCATTTACATCCCCACCAGCATCTATGAGGCTTCCAGTTTCCCCACGTTGTTGCTACTGTCACCTTTTTCATTTTAGTTCTCTTAGTAGGTGTAAAGTGCTATCTCATTTTGGTTGCAATTTGCATTTCCCTAATGACAGATGATGTTAAGCATCCTTTGATATACTTTTTGGCCATTTGTAATATATTCTTTGGAGAAATGTCTATTCAAATACCTTAGTAATTTAAAAATTGGATTATTTGTGCTTTTATTGTTGAGTTATAAAAATTATGTATTCTGGATATAAATTTCTTATCAGATATGATTTGCAAATATTTTCTCCCATTTTCTTAGTTCTTTTTTCAGTTTCTTGATGGTGTCCTTTAAGCTGGAAAGTTTTTAATTTTGATGAAGTCAAATTTACATGTTTTTTATTTTTTCACTAGAGATTTTAGTGTCATGTTTAACAAACTGTTACCTAACCCAAGGTTCACAAAGGTATACTCCTATGTTTTCTTTTAAGAGTTTTATAATTGTAGCTCTTATATGTAGAACTGTGATTCATTTTAAGTTAATTTTTCTGTATGGTGTATGGTAGGAGGGGGGCCCAACTCTATTTTTTGCTAAGGGATAATCATTGTTCAAACAGCTAAATTTATTGGAAAGACTATTTTTTCCCCATTGAATTGTCTTGGAACTCTTGTTGAAAAATCGCTTGTCTGTAAATATAAATGTTTATTCAGCACTCTCAGTTATATCCCACTTATTTGTCGATCCTTATGCCAGTACCACACTGTCTTGATTACTGTAGTTTTATAGTGAGTTTGAAGTCCTGTTTTTTGAAACTGACAAATTATCTCCTCTAAACTATTGTTGGTCTTACTATCTAACTAAGGCATTGAGTAAATGACATCTAATTCATGTAATTTGTCTTTATATGGATATGGCCAATCTCCACAGGCAGATTATTAATGCTTTTGAGAGATACAGACCATATCCTATACATCTTTGTGTACCTGGCAGCCTTAATCCTAGTAGGTGCTCATTAACTATTTATTGAGAATAATAGTGATGCCCAACTGACTTAACGTTTTTTAAATGAAAAATTTCAAACTCATGGGAAAACAGAGACAAGAATAGAAATAACTACTATGTACTGTTCACCCAGATACAATAGTTATTAAAAATTTGCCATAGTTGCTTCCTTTATCTTAACTTTTTCTTTTTTCACTGAAATATTTTAAAGCAAATTCAAGAGAATACATCGTTTTGTGCTTACATATTCAGTTTGCATTTTAAAAAATATGTCTTTTTTTTTTTTTTCAACATAATCACAGTGCCATTATTACATCCAACAAAAGTAAATATAATTTTTTGGTATCACCTAATACTCAGCCCATATTCAAATCTCCTCAATTGTCTAAAAAAAGTCATCTTCATTTGTTTTTTGTGAGTCAGAATCCATGTGTTATATTTGTGGTTGTTTCTTTAATGGATTGATTTCCTATTTACTGGAGAAAACTCAGCAGTACATTTTATCATATATGTTCATGTTCATAGTTCTGAATACTAGAGTGCTTGTAAAACCAAATATCTAATTTTATTTTTAGCCACCTTAGTGAACCCTCTCCTCTAACACTTAAGACCTGTGGCTCATATCTCTATATCTCTTCTTGTACTTCAGGAACTCTACTTCCCTGACTTCTGTATTTTCAGTGACCCACTTCCACACAAAGCCATTGAAGGGCTATGAACACACTGCATTATTGGTTCTTGGTGGTGATGTGATTATCACGAAATGAGTGTGTCTGCTAAAGATGACTCAGTGGATTTTGTACCTTTTACATTGTGCTCAATGTGTGTGCATGTTAAAAAAAAAAAAAAAAAAAAAAGCTGATTTTGACCCATGAATTGATTTTATCATCCATTAAATGAGCCCCAACCTGTGGTTTGAAAAACACTAGCTTTCTGGATAGTCTTGCAGAAAAGTAGTAGAAATTGATATTTCTTTCGGTATATCTTTTAGGTGGGTTTACCAGTTCTATATACTTATTTCTTGAAGATCATTTTTGAAAATTTAGGGGACTGAAAATTTTGGCTGTGAATATATATAAATATGCATATATTGGACCAGAAGAAGTTTAAAAAGTGACAAACTAGAGTAGGTGGTCTCACCATCTGAATAGGCCACCTCTTCATGTCTAAAACGTTCCTTTATGTTATACGCGTGTGCGCACACACACACACACACACACATATTTTATTGCACTTTAGGTTCTGGGGTACATGTGCAGAACATGCAGGATTTTTGCATAGGCACATACATGGCAATGTGGTTTGCTGCCTCCATCCCCCTGTTACCTATATCTGGCATTTCTCCCCATTATGTTCTTTTCTCTTCTATATAGGTACGTCGTCATGAAATACACAAATCAAAGAATAGAGCGTTAGTACACTGGGAACTCCAAGAAAAAGCTTTGAAGAGAAAGTTGAGGAAGCAGAAACCAGAAACTTCAAATCTGGAGAAAAGAAGATTGTCTATCATGAAGGAGGTAATGCTAAACTGCATTAGAGTTAGAAAAAAGAGATAAATAGGGTTCTTTGTTTTTCCCCTCAATTTGATTCACATTGGAGTGACTCTAGTAATCACTGCATTCTTATTCAATAATCTACATGTGGACTTCAAAAAAAAAAAGCAACAGAGTGATTGGAGTCTAGTTTGGTGGTTTGAATTTCTGTTCTACAACATACAGTACTAGCTATGTGACCCTCAGTAAATTATTTAACTTCTTAGCCTGAATTTTCCCACATTTTAAATTATTATTTGGTTGTATTGTTAGGAGATTTCAGTGGTATACTTACAAAGTGATGAGCACAATCTTTTCTTATTCCTCCTTTTGTGTATAAGCTGCTATAATTATTTTTCTTAGTTCAACAGCAGTGCTGTTAGATTACTTTGAAAAAAAAGAACATAATAATGTTGTATGTTTGTCCAACTGAGTAGTAAGCAACTTGTCTTTGGCTTAACCTTTTGCCAGACATGGGTGTTTGGGTAAGTAGTCAGATATGTAGGGATAAACAATATGGGAAATAAGAGGAAACTACAGCAAATAACCTTTTAAAATTTGAGCTGAAGTCATTGTAAAGGAATGTGCTTTGTCTGGAGTGTTGCTTCTTGTTCAGATTGAAGCTTATGTACAGCACTTAGCTATCTGACCTTTCATGGCAGCTTTGAATTATACATTGTTTTTTGAGCAATTTGTTAGGCTTCTTACTGAAATAAAGTCTCAGTCTTAGAGATACCGGAAAGAATAATATCTCCCAAATAAATGTTTACATGAGCTTGAGAAAAGAACAGTGGCTTGATTGAGAGAATGCTTCTTTACAGATTTACCTTTTGGTGATCTTGGACAAGTCACATACATTTAAATGCTGTGTGGTAATTCTCAGTGAAAGGTGTGAAAATACAGATCTGACCATGAAGAAAGGCAGCCTGCTTGGATTGCATCAGACTCTGGGCTTTTATTTCCTTTCCCTAGGGTTCCTGCTAATGTCCTGAATTTCTCATATAAGTTATAGATGTGGTAGAAGAAGGTGTTTAAAGAAGGGTGGTGAGAGAGGATAAGTGACATTTCTTTGCCTTCTTTTTGTAGATCTGCTGCCTCAGGCACTAGTGTAGTTGTTCTCAACTCTCACTGCACATTACAGTCAGTCAGGGTCAAGAAGCTCCATTAAAAAAATGTGTAACAGCTGGGCATGGCGGCTCATGCCTGTAATCCCAGCATTTTGGGAGGCCAAGGTAGGCAGATCACCTGAAGTCAGGAGTTCAAGACCAGCCTGGCCAACATGGTGAAACCTGTCTCTACAAAAACACAAAAATTAGCCAGCCATGGTGGCTGGTGCCTGTAATCCCAACTACTTGGGAGGCTGAAGCGGGAGAATCGCTTGAACCCGGGAGGCAGAGGTTGCAGTGTGCTGAGATTGTGCCATTGCACTTCAGCCTGTCTCAAAAACAACACCACCACCAAAAAACCCCCAAAATTAGCTGGGCGCAGTGGTGAGTGCCTGTAGTCCCAGCTACTCGGGAGGCTAAGGTAGAACGATTGCTTCAGCCCAGGTTGCAGTGAGTCAGGACCGTGCCATTACACTCCAGCCTGGGCAATAAAGTGACAATCTGTCTCAAAAAGAAAAAAAAAAAAAAAAAAACAACAAAAAAAACCTCTCTGTATCTGTATAACTATATCTGGATTCTGTACCCAGAGATTCAGATTTAGTTGGCCTGGGATGTGGCCCTATGTAGGTGTTCTTTAGAGAGCTCCTATGTAATTTTAATGTGCTGCAGGGATTGAGAACCTCCTCTTATTGGGATTCAGGCATTTTCTCTTTACTAGCATTTCTTGGAGATGATTCCCTGTCAGCACTTAGACATCTACTTTTTCTTTTTATTGGCCAGTAGCATATAGATGTACCACATTTATCCAGTGCTTTATTGGTGAACACTTAGGTTGTGTATTAGAGTACAGTTTAAGCTTCTGGAAATAAAAAAAGAACTTACTATATGTTTTGTTTTAAACAAATTTATTCCTGTTTCATGAAACAGTTGAGAGGAAAGTGGTAGCTGGTAGGGAACTCTGCAGTCCTTTATTACATGGCTTGTTTCTGAATACAAAATGGCCATAGCAGCTTCCTTCAGTTATATGCCAGCCAGCAGGAAACAGGAAGAACAGTGCTACTCCTATTACATATATCCTGTTGGCCAGAAAGTCAGCACGTGGCCATTCCCACCGACGAAGATGGTTGGGAAATCCAGCCCTGTAATTGGCTGAAATGCAGGAGTTCTGCCGTTCAAGGAGAAACAAAAAGAACATTGCCGGATACTTAAGTAGTAGTGTCAGTTACCCACAAATTGTTTTCTATCTTGATACTATCAATAATGTAATAAATATCCTTGAAAATGTTTTTGGGTACACATATATTTGTAGGATAAATTCTTAAAAGTAGAATTGCTTAGTCAATGGATATGTGCATCTTTTATTTCACTGTTGCTAAATTTGCAATGTCTCTGTTTAAGGGATGCAGTCAGTGGACCAAAGGCAGAGGCCTTCTTAGACATATCCACATAAGCTTAATCATTATCTATTAATGCTAACAGAACCCATCCACCTGAAGCTGGACTCCTAGGTGAACATAAATTAAGAGAAAGCTATTTGGCCTGCATAATCTTCGATTTCATTTGCTGTAAGATGTACCCATGCCATGGGAATCAAGCAAATTAGAGTTCCCTCTCAGGGAGAGGGAGGCTTTCATAAAGATCTTATAAATCCCCAAAATGTAATAACTCCTAAAGTCTCTTTGTAATTTCCCAGTTCCACCTGGTGTCTATTACCATGGTACAAAAGGGCTAAGATGACAAAGTTTCTGATAATTTTTTTTTTTTTTTGCAGAGACTTTGATCCTTTGAAAATCCATCATGTGTACCACCAGTTACAGGTTTAAGTTTGTGCTCTGCAAACTCATTTGAGGAGTAATATATACAGTTAGGCTTGTAGAGATCAGTTTACCTATCAAGAGGATGGGCTTTATGAGAGGAGTTATAAATCTAGAAAGAAGAAATAAAAGCCAATACACTGATCTTTGGCCACTCAAACCATTTTTTCTCAAGGGCAGAGACTAAACAGGGATATCCAATCTTTTGGTTTCCCTGGGGCACACTGGAAAAAGAATTGTCTTGGGCCACACATAAAATACACTAACTAATGATAGCTGATGAGCTAAAAAAAAAAAAAAAAAAAAAGTTGCAAAAAAACCTGATAATGTTTTAAGAAAATTTACAAATTTGTGTTAGGCCGCATTCAAAGCCATCCTGTACCACGGGTTGGGCAAGCTTGGACTAGCAGAAGGTGTCAGATAATGGCTTTTACATGAGACCTCATTATAAAAAAAAAAATTAGATCTCAATATGGTTAATAAGATTCTTACTTATAATCTTTAGGTGTCAGTTCTGTTTCTTTATTTTGATAGGTCAATGCTTTTTTTAAAAAATAATAAACTCAAAATTGTTTTTGGAAATAAGCTTTGTGTAATTTTTTTAGTGTAGTGAAAGATTATACTCATTCATTCACATTCTTTTCTTTTTTTTTTTTGAGACGGAGTTTCACTCATGTTACCCAGGCTGGAGTGCAATGGCGCGATCTCGGCTCACCGCAACCTCTGCCTCCTGGGTTCAGGCAATTCTCCTGCCTCAGCCTCCTGAGTAGTTGGGATTACAGGCACGCACCACCATGCCCAGCTAATTTTTTGTATTTTTAGTAGAGACGGGGTTTCACCATGTTGACCAGGATGGTCTCGATCTTTTGACCTCGTGATCCACCCGCCTCTGCCTCCCAAAGTGCTGGGATTACAGGCTTGAGCCACCGCGCCCGGCCATTCACATTCTTTTCTTAAGCTCATAATTACTTGTACTTGGAAGATGGCTAAGCTCATAATTGTTCCCACTTGGTTTGTGGGATAATATAAATTCTCAAACATCTCCAGATATAGCAAAATTCTCAAACATCTCTAGAGTGGTGTAAAGGTTTTCAGTGAGTTCATATCCATATAACACCCTTGTAGGTCTGGGGAAGGGTTGTTGACTGGGACTAGCATTTCAGTCTTCTGGCTCTAACTGTGCTCTTGACCTGATACCATTCCAAAGCTTACTCTTTGTGGAAGGAATAAATTTAGGGCTTTATTTTCACTGAGGCTGCCAACTTGCTTGGTTATAGCAGGAGAAGAAAGGGAAAAATTAAGAATGTGACTCTTGTTATTTTTCTTTCTGCGTCCTAAAACAATAACTGAGGTCACATTATGTATGTGCTTGATTCTGTTGTATAGAGAAATTCTGTTAAGAGTATTTGTTACCAGATGTTTTATCAGTTTGAGTCTGTGTTGGAAACTGAGCAGTTTCCAAGTACTTTTAACTTAAGAATGCCATCTGGTGGTGGTGCATAGAGAATTATTTGGCTTTTATTCTAGCCTGTGGCCTTGCTTATAATATATATGAAAGTTCCTAAATTGAAAGTGATAATCAGAGGCACTACTGTAGTGGTAGTTTTGTGTTTCTACCTCTCCAGGGTAAAAAACTGACCTGTTTTTAAACACAGAAGCATCACATTTTTTGTTTAATCCTAAAACTCATATCTTATGTTTTTGAAGTTGTAGGTCATGACAAATTAGTGGATTCTGAATTCACTCTAGTGGTTGAAACACCTTCTAAGTTTATAGCTCAGAGATTCATATCTTTAATCTGTGTTTTTCAAACTATGGATTATAATTTGTTAATGAATTGGAAGTTAGTGGGTTGCAGCCAACATTTTAAAAATGGAATACATATTAAGAAAATATGGTTCTCATGGAGCAAGGTTAATTAAAATGTGTGTGTGTGTGTGTGTGTGTACACACACACAAATATATGTATGTAAAAATATATATTTACTTGTATGTAAATGTCATGGGTCACAATTGTATTTCTTTGGAGTCAAGCATTTGAAAGCCACTAATTGTTATCATAGCCCCATCTACTGGTACTTAAGGATATTGCTACTGAAGGATTTTAGGAAGATAGTCTGGTTATTTTCATGCTCCAGGCCTTTTTATGGTCTTTTCTTTTGCAATTTGAAAAGTAAATATATGTTTATCTGAATAATCATATTTGTCATTAACATGTATCTAGATTCTTTCTGATCAATATCAGATGCAGGATGTATTGGAGAAATCTGATCATCTGATAGCTGCAGCAAAAGAGCTGTTTCCTCGTAGGCGAACAGGTATTCAATTCAAACAAAAGCTTTTCTTCCTTATTAAATTATAGCCCACAACTGACTATTTGGAAGAACTTACAGGCCTTTCTTAGGCATCATATTTATATTACAAGTATTGTAGGGTGGATTTACAAGGGTTGTTAGGGTTAGGGTTATTATAATCTCTTTCCATAAGAATATTAACTACTTGTATTTCAAATAATTCAGCTAAGGAAAATAAATTGTTTTAATCAACTAAAATATCTTGTGTAAAGGATTTTGTAATTTTAAAATGACTTGAGTAAAGCTTAGTTTGAAACCTAAAGCAACTTCAGTCTCTCAGAGGAACGTTGCCTCTTGTCAGATACACGCATTATTTATTTTAATGTGTGTATAGTTCCTTTTTTATTTTCTAGAAACATCATTGGTTTTTCATATAATGTTTGAATTCTGGCTTAGTAATTTATTAATGTTACTGTGGGCTAGTTATTTAAAGTCTGTGAGTTTCAGTTTACTGATCTGTAAAATAATATTAGTACTTATAGGGTTTTGTGAGGGTAGAATGAGTTAATAGATGTAAGTACATTTAGAACAGTGCCTGGCATATAGTAAGCACTACATTAATGTGAGCTGCTATTTAAGATTTTCATATGATGATCAAGTATGGGGCAGTATATAGAGTATATGCAGTATAGAGCTTGTGAAGTCAATTTAGTTAAATAAAACAAATCATCAGAACTTCTTTTCCTTTTGCAGGGTTTCCAAATATAACAGTGGCTCCTGATTCCTCTCAGAGCCCCATTGTGGTAAATCAAGACCCTGTCACCCAATCTATCTTTAATGAGTCTGTCATAGAACCTCAGGTAATGTGCTCTACTCACAGATATAACACTCATGCTAAAAGGAAGTTTAGATTGATATAGGCCTTGTGGTAAACATTTTAAAAATTTAAATATCAACAAATGCTATTTGTGGTGGCTAGATTTGCTTTTACTTAAGTGTATTGCACTTTCTGTGAGAAATGTTTGTACCGAATAAGACTGGATGATGATAGCTAAAATTTATTGAGTGCTTTCCTAGTAGGTGTATATACTGTTGTTATCCCCATTTGGCAGATGAGGAAACTGAAGCTGAGAAAAATTAAGTGACTTGCCAAGATTACATAGTTTGCATCAAAGATGGGATTCAAATCGAGGCCATGTGGCTCCACAAGACTGCCATTGATCATTATGGAAATAGCAGGGAGCCTTTCCACTTGGAGTAAGGTGATCCCAGGGAGTTGCAAGATCCAATACCGAGAGCCAGCTCAGCCGTAGAGACCCCCACCCAGGCGGCGCAGAAGGAACTGAGAGGCAGACACTAAGAATAGCAAAGTGGGACTATCCGAGGGGCCAGCAGCCTTCTGAGCTGAGAGCCTCAGGGGCTGACTGTATTCTAGACTGAAGGCCTCGAATAGACTCTGACCCACACAGTTATTCTCTCTGAACAGGTGATTATTATTAAGAAACAGTTGTTTGGTATTTTCTCATAACACAAAATATGCCAAGTAGGCAGCGGGTGCTGGCTTACCACTGAACTCATACAAACTGTAAAGTATTCTCCATGAGGGAGCCACGGGGGCAGGGTCAGATATCTTGAAGAATTGTTTTAACCTGTGTATGATATTGATACATTGTCCTGCCACTTTGGAATGCCCGAAGTAGTTTTCTTGGGGAGGGCGGGGTGGGGAGGGTGGTGCTACGTTTTCCTTGCCATCACTCTTCTTAGCAAGCAATATATTTTACCATACACTCAGCATTTCTCAGTATTCATAAACTTAACATTTCTCAGCAGTCCAGAATCATAAAAGATATATTTATTGTTTCATACTTCTAAAGACAATTAAGTAAAATGTTACACATATTTTAAATAGCCATATCTATTAGCCATATTTATTTCAGTCATACTTTAAGTACTTTTTCGGTTATTTGGAGCCTGGAAACAAGTACACAATGTATCCCAGAAACATGGAATAAAGCAGTCAGATTTTATTGTGTTTAAGAGTCTATTCTCACACCTGAGCCTATTACTGTTAATACAGCAATAGAATTTCAAATTAATGTTACTGATACAACTAATTTACGTACCTGGTTTAAGTTCTTTCTCAATTTACAGCTGATAGCAGATGAAAAACAGTGATGGGGGCCTCTCAAAGCAGAGGTAGCAGAGAAGAATGTTGGTGAGGGAGGAGAGAGAAGACACCTTAATAGATGAGCAGAGGACCACTATACATCAGAAAGGAAATTGGTGTTGCTATAGATAATCTTGAGTCACCAAGCAAAAATGAAATTGTTACTGTATTACTTAAGTTCTCTGGGTCCTAATTTCTTCATCCATATAGGAATTAGTGAGACTGAACCTACGCACTTATTCATCATGTAGTATTTTGGATCATGTACTAGATGCTAGGATACATAGATGATTAAGGCATGTCTCTGTCATTGGGTTGGGGAAGTAGCAGGATTTGAGGTTAGAGAGACAAGCTGGACCTAGGTCCTGAAGGGCTAAGGACTGGAAAGTAAAAGTAGAGCCACTGAAGGATTTTAAAGAGAAGTCATGATGAGATCCAGTATAGTGTGGGAGATGGATTGGGAAGGGACAAGACTGGAGAGAGGGTCTGGTATGAAGACTTGGTGGGCATCTTAGAAGTGGTGAGGGCCTGACCCAAAGTAGTGCCAGTAGGGAAGGAAATAGAGGAGAGTAGGGATAGACTTGAGCATTTGCTGGCTTGAGCATTTGAGTAGATGGTGACACTGTTCATTGTCTTAGGTAATATTGGCAGATAATATTGGCAGGAACAAAGTATCTGGAAGAATGGTGGGAGGGGTTCGGAAGCTGTTCAGTTTGGACCTATTGAGTAGGGATATCTTGTTTTTGAGACAGGGTCTTGGTATGTCACTCAGGCTAGAATGCAGTGGCACAATCATGACTCACTGCAGACTCCATCTCCTGGGCTCAAGCAGTCCTCCTGCCTCAGCCTCCTGAGTAGCTGATACTACAGGTGCATGCCACCATGCCTGCTTAATTTTTTGTATATTTGGTAGAGACGGGGTTTTGCCATGTTGCTCAAGTTGATCTCAAACTCCTGGGCTCAAGCCATCCTCCTGCCTCTTAAAATGCTAAGGTTATAGGAATGAGCTACTGTGCCTGGCCAGAACAGGGATATCTTATAGGCCAGTTGCAGATGAATGTCTAGGGCTTAGGGCAGATCTGGTTGTGAAGATCGATGTTTGGAAACTAATAGCATTTCATTTGTAGTTACAGCTTTGGAATGAGATATAACCACTCAAAGTGGATCAGATGAGGGGAGAAAAGGTTGATATAGGCCTTGTGGTAAACATTTTAAAAGTTTAAATATCAACAAATGCTAGTTGTGGTTGCTAGATTTGCTCTTTCTTTAGTGTATTGCACTTTCTATGTGTAACGTTTCTACCAAACAAGATAAGACTGGATAATAATAGCTGAAATTTATTGAGTGCTTACCTAGCAGGTGTGATGTGACTTTAGTCACATCAGATATAAGGAAAGGGTAGAAACATAAGATCAGTAAAGGTGATTGGGAAGGAATGGCCAGAAGAGTAGGAGAAAATCTAAGAAAATACAGTATTATGGGAGTTAAAGGAAATGTGTATCAAGTAGATTTTTTTTTTTTTTTTTTTTTTTTTTTGAGGCAGAGTCTCGTTCTGTTGCCCAGGCTGGAATGCAGTGGCACAATCACAACTCACTGCAACCTTGACCTTCCTGGGCTCAGGTTGTCCTTTCTCCTCAGCCTCCTGAGTAGCTGAGACTATAGGCATGGGCTATCTCTCTTGACTAATTTTTGTATTTTTTAATAGAGATAGGGTTTTGCCGTTTTGTTCAGGCTGGTCTTCAACTCCTGGGCTCAAGTGATCCATCCACCTTAGCCTCCCAAAGTGCTAGAATTACAGGCATGAGCCACCACACCTGGCCAAGTAGATTTTAAAGGAAAGAAATGAGTGATCAGAAAAGTAAGGGAAGACAAAGACAGACATATCCATTTGATTTAGGAGTAAGTGTGTTGAAGTTGACCTTATAGAGAGCAGATTAAGTAGAGCAGTAGGGCAGAAGCAGAGTTGCAGGGCGTAGGTTGTGAGTGAGGAGGGCGGAACAACTCTTTTAAGAAGTTTGGTGGTAGAAGAAAGAAGATATATATATAGCTTAAGATAAGTATAGGGTCGGGGTAAGATGGGAGAGGCTTGCTCACGTTTAAATGTTGGTCAGCTGAAGCCACTACAGAGAGAGGTTGAAAATGTGGTAGAGAGACAGGATAATTGATAGGAGTGGAAGAATGTGAGAGGATTTGTGTTCTAGAACATGTGGAGGGCTTAGGAGAAGGGACCTCTTTTCTGTTATGACAAAAAAAAAAGAAAGTATGAGTGTATATATACTCAACTTGTGCTGTTTTTATTGTTTTGTTGAGACAGGCTCTTAATGATGTAGATGGTGAAGAAGAAGGAACTGTGAATAGCCAGTCAGGAGAAAGTGAGAATGAGAATGAGTTTGATAACTCTCTCAACTCTCAGTCTAACATGAATACAGACAGGTATGTATATACGGCATAAATATTTATAGCTTCTAGCTTTTTTCCATGGCCATTTCAGCATTTGTTTATTGCATCATTTTTTATTAAATGGGAGTTTACTTTTGTTTAAAAATATGTTATTTTGATATTTCAACATAATTTGCAGGGGTATTATAAAAAGCTCTTACATACTCTTTACTGTGATTCATCAATTATTAACATTTTCCACATTTGTTTTATCATTTTATCTCCTTTTCTGAGATGCATGCTTGCACATTTGCACCCTAATACGTAGTTTTTTTGTCCCTCATCTATCTCTCGCCCTTCTCCTTCTGAGTGTCCAAAGTCTGTTATATCACTCCTTATGCCTTGCATACCCATAGCTTAGCTCCTTAGAAAGTGAGCTTGGTTTTCCATTCCTGAGTTCCTTCACTTAGCATAATGGTCTCCAACTCCATCCAAGTTGCTGTAGAAGACATTATTTTTTGTGTGGGTGTGTGTGGTTGAATAGTATTCCATGGTGTACCTATAGCGCATTTTCTTTATCCACCCATTGTTTGATGGGCACTTAGATTCCGTATCTTTGCAGTTGACACACATTGTTAAAGAACCATTTGGAAGTAAGTTTCATACTTCATATTTCTTTATCCCTAAATACTTCAGTGTGTGGTTCCTTAGAAAAAGAGCATTCATTCAGATAAAATCAGTACAATGACCGCAATCAGGAAATTACATTGATTTAATGCTATTATCTAATCTATAGACCTTATTTAGATTTCTCCAGTTGTCCCAGTAATGTTATTTATGTTGTTTTGAATGATTAAAGAAACAATCATAATCACTTATTGTATTTAGCTTTCATGTCTTTCATTTAAAAAAAATCTGGAATCTCCTAAGATATAATCTTAGTGTTTCATTGCTTTTTATGACATTTTTATGGTTTTGAAGAAGTACAGGGCAGTTATTTTGCAGAATTCTCTCTAACTTGACTTTTGTTTTATAATTTCTTCATTATTAGACTCAGCTTACTTATACATTTTGGGCAGGAATACGCCTAAAGTGATGCTAAGTCATCAGTGCATCATATCAAGAGGCAGTGATACCTTGGTTTCATTATTGGTGCTGTTAACTTTCATTTTTGGTAACAGTGATATCTGCCACGTTCCTTCAATGGATTATACTCTGTTTTATCTTTTATTTATTTTGATGTTCACTTGTCACATATTTGGGAGCTTCTTCAAGTAATTCCTGTGTCCTTTTAACACATCTTCTTTAACATTTGATTTCTGGCACAACATAGCTCTTATACTTTGTCTTTCCATTCCTTAGACTCAACCATTTCTTCAAGAATCCTTGGTTCATTTTATTAAAGGAGGGTGTTTAGAAGTCAAGATCTAAGTATTAGATGTGCTTATTGACCCTGGCATAATGGTTTTTAGACCAACAGATACATATATATGCACTCATACATATATACCTGTAGTCATATGTATATGAACATATCTATATTAGTATCTAGCTTTCCGTCTATTTAGCTATAAATCATGAATTTACACTGATAGCTCCAAGTCCAATTTAACACTACTAGTTTTATCTTGGTCCTCTTTTATTCCGTATTTGTATTGCTCTTCTTTAACACTGAGCAGCATGTCTCCAAGCATTACACAAGTATATTGATTCATATTCAATCCTGCAATACATAGAAAGGGGTTTTGGAATTGCTGCACACATACTACTGCAAAAATAAACCTAAGTAGAGTTCAAGATTATTAGCAGATTTTTAAGAGGTTATTGTGTTCGTTTGAAATATAATTAGGTTCATTTGTTTCTATTTGTATTCAGTTTTAGGTTTTTACCTCTCTTCTTGACAAAATTGTATAAAAAGATGTTTTCAGGGTAGAGTCATCATCCTCCGTCCCTTCTAACTAGTTCCCATCTGCCCTTACTCTTGTAGGTAACCAGTTTCCTTAGTTTTAAAATTTATTCTTTCTGTGTTTCTTTTTATAAATGTAAGCAGATACATATACCCTTATTTTCTCTTCTTTCTTATGTTAAAGATAACATACTATATTTGCTTTTATTTTACTTTAATTGACAATAAATGTGCATATTCATGGGGTACATAGATGTTTTGATACATGTAATGTTTAGTGATCAGATTGGGATAATTAACATATCCGTCTATATTTGCTTTTACCCCTTAATAATATATCCTAGAAATCTCCCTATAGCTGTTTATAAGTTTACAGAGGTATTTTTTCCCTTCATTTTTATAACAAAATGAAACAGTTACATAGTACTAAATTGTATGAGTGTGCCATAGTTTATTTGACCATTCTCATATATATATGGTCATTTAGGTTATTTTCAGTTTTTTATTCTATTTTTATTTTTTGAGGTGGAGTCTCATATTGCTCAGGCTGGAGTGCAGTGGTGCCATCTTGGTTCACTGCAACCTCTGCCTCCCGGGTTCAAGTGATCTCCTGTATCAGTTTCCCAAGTAACTGGGATTACAGGCATGTGTCCACCAGGCCTGGCTAATTTTGTATTTTTAGTAGAGACAGGGTTTCACCATGTTGGCCAGGCTGGTCCTGAACTCCTGACCTAAGGTGATCTACCCACCTTGGCCTCCCAAAGTGTTGGGATTACAGGTGTGAGCCACCGAGTCCGGCCATTTTCAGTATTTTATAATTACAAAAACACTGCAGTGAATAACCTTGTGTATATGTATAATAATACATATGTACAACATATACATTATATACAATTATATAATATATATGTAAGGAGGTCTTTATTTAGGATAAATTGTTAGAAGTGGGATTTTGGGGTTAAAGGGTAAATGCCATGTTAATTCTGCTTTATGAAGGTTATAATATTTTGTATTCTCCCTGGCAAAATAATGTGTGGCCAGCAGAGTATGTTGTCAGGTTTTGATTTTTGCTAATAATATCATAGGTGTGAGCTGGGCATGGTGGCTTGTGCCTGTAATAGCAACTACTACTCAGGAGGCTGAGCTTGGAGGATCACTTGAGCCCAGAAGTTTGAGTCAAGCCTGGGCAACATAGCGAAAGTCTGTCTCTAACTTCAAAAAAAAAAAAAAATTAAAAATAATTTCATAGGTGAGAAAGGGTATCTTAGCGTAGTTTTCACTTTTTTTTTTTTTTTTTTTTACTTTTCAGTTAAATTGAAAATATTTGCATGTTAAGGGACATTACAATTGTCTGTTCATGTCTTTTGCACATCTTTCTTTTAAGGTTTTGGTATTGTTTTTCTTGCTTTGTAAATACTCTACATATTAAGGATATTAGTCTTTTACCTATATAATATGTTACAAATATTTTTCCCAGTATTTTTTGAATTTCTGATGGCATTTTTTTTAACCAAGCAAAATATAGTTCGAATTTATTATTATCTTTTTGCATGTAGATCTTGATTTATATTCTGAAATTTTCTAAAATCCAGGTTATGGAGGAACTCACTCATGTTTTCTAGTACTTGTGCAGTTTCATTTTTTTACATTTAGTTCTGTAAGCCATTTAGAGTTTATTTTGGCATATAGTATGAGATGTAAATCCAATTTTTGTCTTTTTATAGGTGGCTCTCCAGTTGTCCCAGCATCATTTATTAAAGTCTACCCTTGTCCGCCTGATTTGAGATTGCTCTGTTTGTCACATGCTAAATTTCCTTATGTACTTGGATCTGTTTCTGGATTTTCTATTCTGGTCTGCATGCTTTGTTTCTGTAGTCATGCTCTAATACCATATTCTAACAAGAGAGGGTTTATAGTGATTTAATAGACTCCCTCATAGCTTTTTACATTCATAGTTTACTTAGTGACTCTTAAGTGTTTATTTTTCCATATAAATTTGTTTAACATCACAAACTTATTGGCATTTTTTCTTAGGATATTTTTTATTATTATTGTTTACATTTTAAGTTCCAGGATACATGTGCAGAACATGCAGGTTTGTTACATAGGTAAATGTGTGCCATGGTGGTTTGCTACACCTATCAACCCATCACCTAGGTTTTAAGCCCAGCCTGCATTAGCTATTTTTCCTAATGCTCTCCCTCCCAACCCCACCCCAAAACAGGCCCCAGTGGGTGTTCTTTCATTCTGTGTGTCCATGTGTTCTCACTGTTTAGCTCCCACTTATAAGTGGGAACATGTGGTATTTGGTTTTCTGTTCATGCGTTAGTTTGCTGAGGATAATGGCTTCCAGCTCCATCCATGTCCTTGAGTAGTATTCCATGGTTTTTTTTTTTTTTTCTTGAGATGGAGTCTTGCTCTGTGGCTTGATCTCTGCTCACTGCAACCTCTGCTTCCCCGGTTCAAGCGATTCTTCTGCCTCAGCCTCCTGAGTGGGTAGGACTACAGGTGCATGTCATCACACCCAGCTAATTTTTTGTATTTTTAGTAGAGACAAGGTTTCACCATTTTGGCCAGGATGGTCTCGATCTCTTGAGCTCATGACCCACCCTCCTCGGCCTCCCACAGTGCTGGGATTACAGGCGTAAACCACCGTGCCAGGCCAGTATTCCATGTTTTTTATTAAATTAACTAGAGTGAACTAGCATCTTTGTCATGGTGAATTTTACTATCCAAGAGCATAGTATATTTTTGTTAAAAATCTACTTTTCTGTTTTTCAGGAGTGTCTTAACATTTCTCTCATATAGATTTTGCTTATTTCTTATTGAGTTTATTCCTAAGTATTTTGGAGCTTTTGCTGTTCTTTTAAATGGAATTTTGTCTTCCATTATACCTCCTAACTAGTTATTCTTTGTGTTTCGGAAGGCTACTGATATCCATCTATTACCTTGATATTCTGTTACTTTATTGAATCTTGGTTTAATTAGTTTTAGCACTGATTTTCTAAGGGTTTCTAAGTTGACTATCATGCCCTCTGCAAATAGACATTGTTTTGCTTGTTTTCTAAGTCTTAAACCTCTAATTGGTTTCTTTTGTATATTTTATTAGTTATAGGACAGCGTTCAATAATAATGGAATAGTGGGGATCCTTGCTTTGTTTTTGATTGCATGAAAATGCTTCTGTTGTTTCCCCTTAAGTAAGGTACTGGCTTTAGTATTGAGGTCTTTTTTTTTTCTTTCTTTCTTTATTTCTTTACATTTTTAAAATTGTTATTTTTAGTCTTTATTGAGACAGGGTCTCACTCTGTTACCCCAGCCAGAGTGCAGTGGCCTGAGCACAGCTCAGGTGATCCTCCCACCTCAGCCTCCCTCGCCTATAGTAGCTGGGACTACAGGCGTACAACCACCATACCCAGGTACATATTTTTTTAAAATAATGCTAAGGAAATACCAATCAACTCATGTTTCCTTGAGTGTTTTTTAAATCAGTAATGAGTGTTAATTTTATCAGACTTTTTCAATATCTATTAATCATGAGCTTTCTGCTTACGTCTCTTAACATGGTACATTATATTATGGACTTCCTAATATTGCACCATTCTTGCATTTCTGCAGTAAATTCTATTTGACCATAATGTGTTATTTTCATTAATGGAGTATTGGAGGTTGTTACTATTTTCTTTGGTATTCTTGTATTAAAATTCAAAAATTTTATTGTCTGTCGTTTGTATCTGTAGCCTTTATCAAGTTGAGGTAACAATGTGATACTTGATTTTATAAGAACCATCTGGAAGATTTTTCTAATTTTTTAAGTCCTGGAACAATTTATATAGCATTGAGACTATCTGTTTTTTGAGGCTGATAGCTTTCTTCCTCTGAAACTATTTTCTTATGGTGCTTTTTTGATGGGGAAGTGCAATAATAACTTGGCTTCTTTATTTAAGCTGCTATTTCTTTTCAAGCCAATTTTTGTAAGTTATATTTTCTTAGGAAAATTTCCATTTCGTCCAGGTTAATCAGTGTATTTCCATAGAGGTGTGCTAATAATCTCTATACTTCTAAAAAAATGTTGTTTCAGTGCTGACTTGCTCTCAATCATTTATTTTGGTTTGCTGTCTTTCTTAAAATCAGGTTTTTAGCAGTTCACCTATTTTATGAATTTTTCAAAGAACTAAGATTTTTAATTTATCAGAGGTCCAGTTTTCTGATTTCTTCCTCATCAATTTTTGCTTTTATCTTTATTTCCTTCCCTGTGCTTTTTTTGGTTTACTTTGTTTTTCTAGTAAACATAATTGAGAATTTAAAACATTCATTTTCATTCTTTTATTTTTAATTGATAAACATGTTTAGGGCTCTGAATTCTACTCTAATCACTACTATAAATATGTACCATACATTCTAGTATGTAGTGTTTTGTTACTTTAGGAATGAAGTAATTTCAGTTTATATTTTCATGTTTACTTAAGAGTTGTCTAATAGAAGATTTTTAAAAGGTTTTCCAGAGCCTCTTTGTTTTTCTAGCTTTATTATATTCAGAGTGTGATTTGTAATATTTCTACTTGTGGAACTTAATGATATTTTCTTTTTACGAATTTTTACAAATGTTTTATGTGTGTGCCTGAGAAAAAAGCATATACTCTACCAAGGTATAAAGTTCTGAATGTATATCCATAGATCTACCTCATTGATTATGTTGTTTACTACTTTTGTATCCTTATTTATTTTTGCCACTATTTTCTACTGAGAATGGTGTATTAAAGCCTCCTACTACTAGGATGTTTCTATTTCTCTTTGCATTTTATGTTTAAGTATATTTAAACATTAGAGTTTAAATTTAGTTTAAATAACTAAATTTAGTTATTTAGTTTAAATAACTCTATATTTAAACATAGAGTTAAGTACTTCCTTTCTTATAAAAGTCACGATTGTGTTTTTTGGTAAATGTTTTTTGGAATGTAAGTGTTACATCTTCTTTGTGATTTATAACTTTTACCATTATAAAATATGCTTTGTCACATTTAATACCTTTTGATTTCATTTGTACTTCGTCTGATACCAGGAATGAAACCTCTGCTCTTTTCTTGTCTCCAATTTCCTGGCTTATCTTTGCTTTTTACATTTAGCCTTCTGTATTTTAGATCTTTAATATATTCAGCCTTTTGAAATTATTTTGTGTCAAGTATGTCTCTTGTATTCAATGTAGAGTTCATCTTGCCTTGTTAGACAATTTGAAAATATTCTTTTAATTGAAGTAAGCTTATAACACTTATTGATGTGTTTAATGTTAACTTTGTCACATTGTTTTATAGTTCTGTTTATTGTACTATAATTACATTATGTGATGTTTCTTTTCTGTTCTTTTCAAAAATTTCTTTTGGTATTTAGGAAGTTTGGAATTTGTTCTGGTGGTTACCTTTGTATATATATCTTTTACAGAGCCTTTAATCTTGTTTTCTTTTTTTACATGTCACTGTCATGTAAAAAAAAAAATTAAAACTTTTTTGTTTTTTTACATGACAATGACATATAAAAAAAGTTTAAACATTTTTTTGTTTTTTTAAATGTCTGCCTATTGTCTGTACAATAAGTGAGTTTTTCCATGTTCCTTTTTTTCCATTGTTTTCTCTGTATCCTTCTCCCCATTTTTAGTTGTATATTTTGCTTTGACAGAACATGAAGTATTTTTATGTATTATGCTTCCATGTGGTATCCCGTTTTTGTTTTTGTCTTATGGCCACAATTAAGTATATTAAATAGCTCACAAGTTTGGTGGCTTAAAACAACAGAACTTGATTACTTCCAAGTTCTGGGAGCCAGAAATTTAAAATCAGTTTCACTAGGCCGACGTCAAGGTATCAGTAGGGCCATACTCCCGCCGGAGGAGAAGCTGCTCTGGAAGAGAATTTGTTGCTTGCGTCTTCTGGCTTCTGAAATTGTGGCTGCATCACTCCAATCTCTGCCTCTGTCTTAACATCATCGTCTCCTCTGTGTGGGTGTCAAAGATCTCCCTCTGCCTGTTTCTTATAAGAATATACATGAAATAAGAAAAAAATTTTTAAAAAGGAATATACGTGATTGCATTTAGGGCCTACCCAAGATATCTCCTATCTCTTAAGGATTCTTAATTGTATCTGCAGAGGCTCCCCACACCCGTTTTTTTTTTTTTTTTTTTTTTTTTTTGCCATATAAGGTAATAGTGACAGGTTCTAGGGTTTAGACATGGAACATCTTCAGGTGTTATTATTTAGCCTACTGGGGTCCTTCCAGTGGCCCCCTGCGATCCATCCCAATATCCTTCAGTTTTCAGCTTCAGTTCAAGTTCAAAAATCTCATCTAAATCTCGTTAGCTAGAAAGTCCTAAATCTCGTAATCTAAGTCAGTTATGGGAGAACTGGATATGATCCATCCTGGTGCAAAATTCTTAATTTGTGGTCTGAAACTAGAAAACAAGTTGTCTGCTTTCAGAATACCATGATGGGACAGACATAGGGTGAAAGTTATAGACATTTCCATTTCACAAGAGAAAATCAAGGAAGAAAGGGATCAGCAGTTCCAAGCAACTTTGAAATTCAACAGGGCAAATACTATTAGGTTTCAAGACCTAGAAATAATGCTCTGTGACTTGAGTCTTTACCCTTCTGGATCCATGGCTCTACTGTCTGTGCCTGTGGCTCTAGTTTTGGCCTCTGTGCCTATGGATCTGCAGCTCTGGCCACATGTTCTCACGTATTTGTGGGAGCTAAAAATGAAAACAATTGGACTTATGAAGATAGAGAGTAAAATGATGGTTACCAGAAGCTGAGAAAGGTAGTCTGTAGACTTTTTGCAGTCTAGCATCCTTCCTTCATTCCATCCTGCCTTTGTGTCTTTCAATTCAAGCCAGCAGTATTTCTGTCGGTATAACATTCTCAAAAGATTTTGTAGGTGTCTTGTATATGCCATGGTAATCTACTCCATAGACAGATCCTTCCAGGAAAATCCCATCTTTATTGTTAGCTTCTTCTGAGATCATTAGGAAGATCCAGTAATCACACGCCTTATCTCTTCAGAACTAGTAAAAGGTTATTCAACCATACTCTCGTCCTTCTTTCTAGAGTATGCTTTCCTAACAGCGACTTTACTAATTTTTTGCAATTTGGACAGACTGTAAACAACTCAAAACACCAAGCCCTGGTTCCATTTGCTTAAAGTTTTTCCTTTCATCTGTCTCTTTTTTCTTGCTTTTATACTAAGCCTCCAGAAGAAGGTAGGCTGTACCTTCAGCACTTTGAGAAATAGATAAATGAATCACACAGTTGAAAATTATAATACCAGCCTTATCAGTGATAAAGATGTTTACAGCATAATACTTAGCCCTGTAACCAATGTGCTTGTAATTAGTAACCCCTAAACTACAGCGTCTCTTCTCACTCTCTCTAACCCCTCCCTGACACACAGGGACAGAGTATGCTGTGGTCAGTTTACTTCAGTGATGAGCAGAGACTGGCTGCTCTGTGGACAGGCTCCTTTGTAGGACAGAAACCAAAAAGGGCTAAGCCATATGTGCTTAATTACTTTACTCTAGAGAGAGAGAGGAGGATGCAGCCATACCACAAAACTTCAGAAAGGGCAAACATGCTTGTGTTAGGGACCAAGGTAGGTAGGAAACTGGGAGGCCAATGCAATGATTCTTTCCAACACTAAGGTGATAGGCATTTTTGCTCTCTCTCTGTCTTATCAGTTAAAGTGAACAGTATTTTTTTCTTTGATTATGAATTACTAAAAGCTCCTTCAAATCAAACATGTTAGTATTTGGACAGTTTACATGATAGCACCTACTATTCTATAATAGCACTCTCATAAAAGTTAAACCAGATTTACACTAGCTATAATGTATGCAGTGGAAACACTTCCAGAGTTACATGTGGTGGGAGACATTTCTTAGCTACCATCCAACAAACTGTTAGTTGTTGAATTATTCTATGGTAGGTGCTATCATTTATATTTATATTATATTAAAATTCTTATATAGCTCATTTTCCCATAATTTATAGGTTTCTCCAGCAACTAACAGAGGAGAATTCTGAGTTAATTAATAAGTTGTGGACTGATATTCAGCAGAAAATGGCAACCCAGTCACAAATAACTCCTCCAGGAACGCCATCATCTGCTCTTTCATTAGGGGAACAAAGAGGTTTGTTTCCCCTTTGCGTTATTTCTAGTTGCCTGCTTTATTGAGTTCATTCTTGAATGAAGTAATTTTTAAAGGAGTATTATTTGAGTTTTGACTGCCTTAGCCTAATTGACTAAATACTGATGGATCTGTCAATTGAAATATTTTCTTAAGATGTTTGTTCACTTGAGATACTTTTGGAAATGTTCTATCTTTTAGCTGCTCTCAATGCTACCAGTGCTGTCAAGAGACTCCAAACCAGGCTTCAGCCTGAAGAAGCTACTGAGACTTTAGACTCAAGCTCTGTTGTGGGACACATGCTGAACTCAAGGAAGCAAAAACAGCTGTTAAATAAAGGTTCAGTCCCTTAATTTACAAAGATGAATGCTTAAATATGTAACTTGATAGAGCTGTCTTAATCTCTTAGTAAATTTTTTTTCCTCTTAATCTGATCCACATGGTTCCAACTAAGAGTTTGTTGAATGGTAGCTAAGAAATGTCTCTTACCACATGTAAGTCTCGAACAGTGGTTCCAGTGCATTCATTATAGCTAGTGTAAATCTGGTTTAAACTGTTTAATTTTTATGAGAAGAATGGCGATATCATCTATAAAAGCCTTTTATAAATTGTGAACAATAGTCAAAAGGTCTTTCTAGTAGTTGTCTAGTCATACTTTTTCCTGGTCTTAAAATAGAATGACTTCTCTCATTATCAGTGAAAAGAAAACCGAATTTGCATGCTCTTTCCAAGCCGAAGAAAAACATGTTATCAGGTAGCACAACCTCTGCAGACTTACCAAATAGGACTAATTCCAGTCTGGATGTCCTCAAACACATGATACATGAAGTGGAACATGAAATGGAAGAATACGAGCGGTGGACAGGTCGTGAGGTCAAGGGACTGGGGAGCAGTCAGGGTCTTTCAGGCTTCACTTTGTCGCTGGTGAGCTCCCTCTGTCGCCTGGTTCGGTACCTTAAAGAGGTAAGAACAATCTTGCAAAGTGGTGATTACCCCTTAGCCAGACAGCTCATTTTAAAGAAAGCTCTCTCAACTAAATATATTCACACACACACTGTCAGATATAAATGTATATAATAAACTGTCAGATGTGAATGTGAAAATAAAACTACTAGTATAAATACATTTAAAAAAAAAAAAAGAGGTAAGAACATTAGGTTATTAGAGTTTTCCCTTCAGGAAGAAATGCATGGGGTTTTTTCCTCTCCAGTTATTGTAGCCTCCAAATAAAGAACAGCCAAATTTGAATAGCTTCCTTTAAAATACCTCAGTTTTATATTATCTGCAGTAAAGGCTTATCCTTTAAATTCTTTTCTGCCATTAGTAGGTACATGCTCAGATAAGTGATTTTAATAAGAGCTTTAGCAAATTATAATTAGTAGGGTAAATCTGCCATTAATATAATTATATCTTGTGCTAATATTAAATATTGCTGTTTGGCAATTGTAGATTAAGTAGAACTATTAACCATGTCTTCATTCTATTGCTATTCTCTGCTTCCTACTCCCACGTTCAGTTTGGAGAGTGGCATTGCCTATCATCTGTAGACATGATAGGTGGGAAAATTCTTTGTTATCTGTATGTGATACAGTTAAGTAACTCACATATGTAGGTAACTCACGTATAGCTTCATTGTCTAAGTCAGAGATGTTTTATTGTAAAAATAATTTATAAACTAAGAATTTTTCTTTGATTTCAAATAATCAAATTAAAGTTCCTTTAATTTGATTTCAAATAATTAAAGTTCCTTTAATTTGATTTCAAATAATCCATCCACAGAATGTCACAGAATTAGAGTTGGCTATGTATTTCATCTTTAAAAATCTATCTAAACTGTTATATACTTAAGCCTGTTGTACAAATATGACAAAAGTGTTTAAGGAAAATCTATTAACAAAATAGATCTACCACCTTAATACAGATGTTTCAGTTTCTCTAGCGCTGTCTTCCTAAAGTTGAATTGCCTTTTTTTTTTTTTTTTTTTTGGAGACAGGGTCTCACTCTGTTGCCCAGGTTATAGCACACTAGTGGCATGATCTTGGCTCATTGCAACCTCCACCTCCCAGGTTTAAGCAATCAGCCTCAGCCTGCTGAGTAGCTGGGACCACAGGTATACGCCACTACTCCTGGCTAATTTTTGTATTTTTTTGTAGAGACACGGTCTCACTATGTTGCCCAGGGTGGTCTCGAACTCCTGAGCTCAAAGCAATCTTCCCATCTTGGCCTCTCAAGGTGTTGGGATTACAGGCATGAGCCACCACACCTGACTCTAAAATTCATTTTAAATGAAAGATTTGTTGTACTGTCATACCTATTAAAGCCTTAACATTCTTTCACCCTTAGGAATCTTCAGGAGTATGCTTTTGGCTCTTGGAAAGTATTTCAGGCTTAGAAGCATGTACTTTTTTTGTTTGGAGATAGAATCTTGCTCTGTTGCCAGGTTGGAGTGCAGTGATGTGATCTTGGCTCATTGCAACCTCCACCTCCCGGGTTCAAGTGATTCTCCTGCCTCAGCCTCCTGAGTAGCTAGGACTATAGGCGCATGTCACCATGCCCAGCTAATTTTTGTATTTTTAGTAGAGATGGGGTTTTGCCATATTGGCCAGGATGGTCTCAATCTCTTGACCGTGATCTGCCAGCCTTGGCCACCCAAAGTGCTGGGATTACAGGTGTGAGCCACTGCCCCCGGCCAGAAGCATGTACTTTTAAGCGAATCACTTGCTTTACAAAGTTAAACCATTTAAAGTTGTAGTCATTTATTTTAAAATATATTTTAACAAACTTAATTTTTGAATTGACGATATAGTCACGTGATATGGAAATTCAAAGATATAGCAGATTGTGCAGTGAAAAGTCTAACTCTCATCCCTAACTTACAGCCAGTCTGTTTGCTTACTTTTAGCCAAGTATTATTACCAGATACCAGTGTATTTTTCTAGAGATGGTCAGTGTGTATTCAAATAATATGTGTATGTATATCCCTCTTACTTTTTACAAAAAATGTAGCTACTTAATTTTATGTAACATTTTGTTCATTTTATTCTATTTAAAGAAATGAAGAGAATAAAGCAACACATTTTCTTTAATTAAATATAGTAAACCTTTTAATAAGAATCTTTGTCATTACTGTCACATAATATATGCTTCTTTGTAAACATCTTCTTTGCCAACTTTGAGTGAAAACTTAGTTTTCAACATGTGATGCTATTGGAGGACGTTTATTTGATATTTTTTTTGTAGAGTGAGATCCAGTTACGTAAAGAAGTAGAGACAAGGCAACAATTGGAACAAGTATTAGGTGATCATCGAGAGCTCATTGATGCTCTGACAGCTGAAATTCTTCTTCTTAGAGAAGAAAATGCTGCTACACAGGTACTCAGATGAGATCCCAATTTTTATGTGTTCAGTGGTATAAAACGTCTTTAAACATGTACTAGATTCTCTTAAAGTTGTTTTTGGTTTAACTGTGTTGATATGATTACTTATCAGTCATATTATCGGTGCTAGCTATTATCGAACATTTATTACATTGGAGGTATTATAGTAGAAGCTTGGAAATAGTATATAGACTGTCTCCCTGTCTTAAGAGACTTACTGTTTAGTGGGAAGACAGAGTCTGCATTTAAATTATAACTACCATTGTTACAGTAGTTAATCCAAAATGTGAAATGAGTGTTATGATAGCCACTTTTAATTTCAAAACAGCAGAAGATAGCCTTTCAGGAGTCCTTTTGCAGTTAAATCAGATGCTATTTACAGTTGTTGACAGTATCTTCATATTTGTTACATAAAGTCCTCTTTGCTGCTTGACTGATCGCTTCTTTTCTTTTTTCAAAGACTTACACAGTTTTCTTCTAGAAAACCTGCTTCTATGCTGCACTGAGCATTCTTCCTTTGGGTACTACTATTTTTTTTTTTTTTTTTTTTTTTGAGATGGTGTTTCACTCTGTCACCCAGGCTGGAGTGTGTGACACCCAGGCTGCAGTGGACCTCCTGGGCTCAAGTGATCCTACTGCCTTAGCCTCCCAAGTTGCTGGGACTACAGAGGTGCATCACCATACCCAGCTAACTTTTTGTGTTTTTAGAGACGGCGTTTCATCATGTTGCCCAGGCTGATCTTGAACTCTGGGGCTCAAGTGATTCGTCCGCCTTGGCCCTCAAAAGTGCTGGGATTACAGGCATGTACCACTGCACTCTGCTTCTTTGTGCACTTCTGATACTGTCTGGATATTAGTATTATTGAGTTTACTGTATTATGTTATATGTGTACTTGTCACTGAGACTGTGCTTCTTGAGTGTACACAATCTATTTTATTCGTCTTTTTTGTTCTCATGTAGTGGTTATTGTTTTATTTATTAGCCAGAAGAGAACTGCTTGTCTTATTTAGAAAAACAGTAGTTAGAAGATAAATTATTTGTGTTAATGGACATTAGATATAGATGTATAATTTTTTTAAATTGATAATATAGGGCCAGGCACAATGGCTCACACCTTTAATCTCAACACTTTGAGGGCCGAGGTGGGAAGATCACTTGAGGACAGGAGTTTGTGATCAGCCTGGGTAACAAGTGAGACCAGTTTACAAAAAATAAAAATATTAGCTGGGCACAGTGGCACATGCCTGTAGTCTTAGCTGCTTGGGAGGCTGAGGTAGGAGGGTCACTTGAGCCTAGGAGTTTAAAGCTGCAGTGAGCTATGATTTTGCCATTATACTCTCCCCTAGATGACAAAGTGAGACCCTGTCTTAACACACACACGCACACACACACACACACTCTCTCTCTCTCTCTCTCTCTTTCTCTCTCTCGATAATAGAGTTCACATACCATTAAGTCCACCCTTTTAAAATGTACATTTCAGTGTTTCTAGTATATTTGAAGTTGTATACCAGTACCATCACCTAAATCCAGAACATTTTCCTCACTCCAGAGAGAAATCCTATACTCTTTAGAAGTACTCTTCATTCTCTCTTCTCACGAGCTCCTGGCAGTCACTAATCTACTTCTGTGTTTGTGGATTTGCCCAATATGGATATTACACAGAAATGGAACAACGGAATATGTGGCCTTCTTTCACTTAGCATAATGTTTTAAGGTTAATATGTTTAGCATGTATCAGTACTTCATTCCTCTGTATTGCCCAACAATCTATTGTATGGATATACCATATTTTATTTATCCCTTCATTAGTTAATGAACATTTGGGTTATTTTTACTTTTTGTCTGTTACAAATAATACTGCTATGAACATTGTTATACATATTTTTGCAGAACATATGTTTTTAATTCTCCTGGGAAGATGTGCAGTTTTAAAATGTACTAATTTATTCAACATATCTTTATTGAATACCCGCCATGGGCCTGGTACTGTTCTAGGTACAGGAAATAGAATAGTGAACAAAATATAGAAAACTTTACTTTCATTGAGCTTACATTCTAAATAAACCCTAAAAACAAAAAGTGGAAGTATGGTAAGTTAGCGAGTGATATGTACTTCAAAGAAAAATAAAGCACACAAAGGCATAGAAAATACATAAGATGGAGTAGGATGCAGTTACAAATGAGATGGGCCATGCCTGTCTGAGGAAGTGACATTTGAGCCAAGACCTGGAAGAGGTGAGGAGTGAGCATGTGGGTCGCTGAGAGAAGAGCAGTCTGGGCAGAGGAAAAGCAAGTGCAAAGGTCTTGTGGTGGGAGTGTGACTGGTGAGCTTAGATTCATCAAGGAGACCAGTGTGGCAAGAGTAGAGTATGGGGAAGAGAGAGAGGCAGGAGACAAGATCAGGTAAGCCTGATCGCATAGGGGCTTGCATGCTGGTTGAAGACTTGGGCTTTTATGCTAAGTGAGATGGGAATACATATGTAAAGAGAAGAGACGTGATTTGTCTTGGGTTTAAGAGGATCACTCTGGGTTGTGTTGAAACTAGATCAGAGATTGGTACCCTTTCTTGGGTCGCAGTGCCCTTAGTGTCTTATAACACCCCTAGGCCAAAAGAATACCTAACAATTCTGCTTATTAAGTCCAAAAAACTGTGTTCTAACAACCGACTGTTTGAGAAAAAGTAATACTTTCTCTTAAATAACTACAATTATTTACTAATGGGTTATATGTACCTTTTGAGCACTGTACCACTTCTCAAAGTGTGGAATCATATGGGACACAGTCTTTCTTATTTCCTGTTCCACACTGATTTTCCTCCAGAACTGTTTTTTTTTTTTTTAACCTAGTGACTACTGAAAACCCAGCCATGAGAAGATTTGACAAAGTAATATAATGTAGTCTGACATTGAGACTGTGAACTCTCTTGAGCTAATAGTTCACCAGTGTGTCATAGATGGCAAGCACCACTGTTTCCTTTGAAAATTTAAATTTTCCTCTGGTGCTCCTGTAAGTTCACTTTAATGACCTGAGGTGCCTCAGCATACAGTTTGAGAACAGTATGGGACTAGACTAGATGGCCAAACAAAGCAGAATATTACATTAGGAGTTACTGGAATAGTTTAGGTGAGACATGGCAGCTTGGGTGTGAAAAGTACCCAAGTTCTGAATACATTTTGAAGGCTGACCAATGCAGTCTGCTAATTGATTTGATATGGAGTGAAGCAGAGGATATTGGAAAAGAGTCAAGGGTAATTCCAAAGTTTTGGGCTGAATGATTAAAATGATGAAGTTGCCATTTATGAGGTAGAGAAGGCTTTAGGAGGAATGTGGTTTTATATAGCTTAAGTTTGAGAAGTCTATTTGAGCTCTAGATGGAGGTGTTGAGTAGGCCACTGGATATATGAGTGTGGAATTTGGGAAAAAATTTGGGCTGGCGGTATAAAAATGTTTACTATACTTCATTCAGCAGTACTATTAATATTTCTGATGTCTGGCTGCACCTGACTTATCTAATGTCTGTATCTCTCTAAGCATGCATGAGAAAGATATATATGCTTAGATAGAAGTTTGTTACTGGCTGCCAGCCTTTGATTTTCTTACTTTGTTGTTATTACAGGGTGTCAGCAATTTACAGAACTCTCCTTTTCTTCCTTCTACCTGCAATTTTCTCTACTTCTAAGAACCATTCGCGTAACACCAATATGTAACTTAAGAAAGATGAGCATTATATGGTAGTGATCGAACCTGATGTTTTTAGATGACCTTCTTATATCATCTTTGTAGAAAAGATTAAGAACAAAACAAATTCATCTAAACTTCTGGGCAATCTGGTTGACTTTTACATGTAAGAATGGAATTCCAAACACTTAACACATTCGCTAAATCTATGGGTAAGGTATTTTGTGGGTGATCTTTTAAATTAAAAAAAAAAACAAAAAACCTTATGTGATATTAAAAAATATACACACACACACACATAGACAAATGAGAATATATACATATAGAAAATATAGTGTTATCTGTCTTATGCACTTATATAAAAACCAAGTTGTAATTAATATTCATATTAATTACATACAGAATTTTGTGCTTTTCTTTTTTCCCTTAACATTATTTCATATGCATTACCACAAATATTTAGAGTGTTCATGTTTGTCAGTTTAAATGCCTGGGTAATCTTCACTGTTTCCTCCACCTCATGTATCTCTGTCTCTTGGGGGTAGCTTAAGAGTCAGTTGGGACATCTATATGAAGAGGTTTTGTAAATGGAAAGCTCTGTAGAAAGGTTAATTCTTAATGTTATAGAAGGGTATTAATTACTATTTCATGATTTACTTAACCATTTCCCTATCATGGGACTACTGGAATATTTATAATTATAGATAGCATTGCTTTAATTTGAAAGTCTCAAATTCCTGAAATATTTAAAATGATGCTATTATACATGTGTAAACACACATATACTTTGTGTGGTTTGCTTTCTAGGTGGTGGTTTGATGTTTGATATGCTAATAATATTATTTCATATGTTTTCCTCTCCAGGCAAGACTTCAGCAGTATATGGTCACAACAGATGAGCAACTTACATCACTCACACATGCTATTAAGAACTGTCCAGTGATAAATAACAGACAAGAAATTCAGGCATCAGAAAGGGGAACCACAGGTAGAAGAGTTATGGACAGTCCAGGTGAGTGTGGTCTTATTATCTCAGACTCATTAGACTTAATGGCCTTAGGTAACAAATCAAACCCTAAGTCTCTAAACTTATATAGACTTATTGACTGTTTATGCATATGCAGTATTGTTCCTACTACAATTGCCACTACTTTCCAGCTAATATTGGATGCTTGCTCATGCCAGATACCTAAGTCTTACATGCATCATTTCAGTTTATCTCATCATAGTCTGATGAGGTAGGTGTTATTGTTTTCTCCATTAGTGTTATCCTCAGAGGAAACTGAGGCTAAGAGAGTGTTGGTAACTTAGCAGTCACACAGGTAGAAAGCAGCAAAACTGGACACCTAGACCAATGAGACTTTAGTGCTAGCACTTTTAACCACAGTGCCCTAGATTCAGAAGAGATGGTTTTGGAAAGAGAAAAATACTGTTTTAGAAATTCATAACTTTTGTTCATATGTGGTAGTGCTGTTTTGAAATTTTTTCCTCATCTCATGTGCCATCATATGCCACAGGCTGAATTGGACATGTCAGTTTTTTCATGTTTTTTACTTTTAAGTAAGACTTTGATGAGTGTCTGTAAAGAAAGTGTTTGATGTATTTAAAGCCGTTTTCTTAGGATGGATTCTAAGAAGTGACCAAAATTTAACTTGTATGAGATATAGTCAATGGCTAGGGCAGGTCTCTGTCTTCTGGTGGAGTCTTGCTGTTAATATCTCAGTCAAGGAATATGTGAGAAGGGCTGGGAGTAAGCGTATTGTAGAATTACTGTTAGTTTTTGTTATTGCCTGTGGAAAAAGTCAGATTTATGTAGGTGAGACCAAAGATTTATGTAGTATCTTCCTGAGTCTCAGCTCTTGTAACTCTTGTAAAATAATATGGAATGTGACTATGTTGTGATAATGCATGACCTGTGAAGCTCCTTGGTTTGTAAGGAGCCTTGTATATGGAAGTCAGTGCACTAATATGCCCCATTTTAGCCATTTTGTTCCTTATTATGACCATCAAAAAGCTATCCATAACAAATAATGAAAAATTCTACCAGCCTAGGCAACATGGTGAAACCCCATCTCTACAATGAATAAAAAAAATTAGCTGGGTATGGTGGTGCATGCCTGTAGTCCTAGCTACTTGGGAGGGTGAGGCAGGAAGGTCACCTGAGCCTGGGAGGTCGAGGCTGTAGTGAGCCAAAATTGCTCCACTGCACTCCAGCTTGGGTGACAGAGTGAGACCCTGTCTGAAAAAAATAAGCCACATTCTAGGGTGCCACATTGATTTTTTTAGGAGTCCCTAAGTGGCTCACTTTTCATGGCTTTGAGGTCCTAGTGCCTTTCTCAAAATAGTAACTACTTCCCAGTGCTGGCCCCCCAGGAGCCTGCCCATGAATGATTGGCAGATGAAGATACAGCCTAGAAAGTGAAGGCTCCAGGAGCCATGTGGATTCATGTGGATTTTGCACTCTACTGAGATACATTTAAGAATAAATACAGTACCTGAAATGTGCCCATAGTTTCTTTTTGTTCCTGTTGTACTAATATCCTCTCATCTTCTTCAGAGGGTCCAGTTGTAAATGCCAATATCTCAGTGCCATTGGTGTTAGAGGAAGAAGTGGTTGAATTCCCACAGGAAGAGCTGCCTGTTAAACTGTCTCAGGTGCCAAATCCTCCAGATAGCATGAATCTGGCCAAGAATTTTCCCGCACATATTTTTGAGCCAGCTGTGTTGTTAACACCACCCAGGCAGAAGAGCAACTCAGAATTCTCTCCTCTGCAGGACGGTAAGGCTTCTTCTGAATTTACATGTAAGTTGTTTTTTATGCTTCATTTGTGCAATGTATTATTTTCACCGTTAACCTGAAAAACAGAATTGAAAAAGACATTGATTACCACCCATAGCCTTTGAGCTGAAGGAAGAATTTTCATACTATGTGTGTTATACCTGTGGTGATGTGACATTTAATTAATTTTATTGTATATCTATTTTATTAAACATTGTAAGTTTTAAACTTAGATCAAAAGATCAGAGTCCTTAGCATCAAGATGCAGAGTAAGGGGAAATCCCTTTTTTTCCCCTATGGCCAGGAGCATATGAAAGAGCTAAACGCAAGAGATTATACTCAAAAGAATAATGAAAGTTAGACCAATGAAAGGTGAGAACTGTGACTTTAAGGGTTTTATAAGTCATATCTGTTCATCATAATTACCTCTTTCTCATCAAAAGTTTTCAGCTCAGTCAGTTGAGTGAATCTTATAATAAAATGTAATGGGCAATTAAAAATAGCTTTAGAGTTACTTTTGCAGCTCACAGGTAGAGTTTTGAATAAATGTGTTAAGAATGTATTATTCTTAGCTCAAAGATTCTTAGGGTTCATGAATGGTCTTCAGGAGTTCCATGGACAACTTCATTGTTGGGAAAATTAAATTTATTTGTCTCCATGTACATTTTTTTTCCTGGAACTATTGTTTTTATTTCATTTTCAAAGAGTTCTTTAGTCAAAAAAAGAACCACTATCTTAAACTCTCTTCTGAAGTTTTTTGAAAAATATTATTCAGGTTTGATTAGCCTGAATTTTTATTTCTTTGAAAAGATTTTTTATATTCTTACTTACATAGGGGTATAGAAAAATAACTTTATTATTATTGGGACATACAAATTTTGTGTGATTTTCTGCACTTGCATATATGTTTCCAAAAGGACATGAAGAAGCCCTAGGGGTTAAAGAAAACGACAAAGCCTTGCTATTAAAAATTTTGTTTTGGTATTTATAATGCAGATGTAGCATCTGTCAGATCAGTGTGGTGCAGTGGTAACAATGCCAGGCTGAGAGTCAGAAGTGCTGGTATCTTGGCCTGTTTATCGTTGACTAGCTGTGAGGCATGAGGCTCAGATAGTTAACCTTTTCTAGACCTAAGTTTTTCCATCTATAAAATGAGAAGATATTTCTTTATCTTTAATGTTCCCTCTAGCTCTACCATTGTATGATTCAGTCTTTCCTCTTCAGAGGGCTAGTCAGTATTATTAACTCAGGCAAGATTCAGGAAATATGATTTCAGCTCTGATTTCTATTCAGGCTAGACTTTTATTCTTTAAAGTAGTTTTTCAGCTGTTTGCATGTTGCTAATAGGCTTGCCTAATGATCTTTTATTAGATGTTGTAAATATTTTTCTTTGTTGATGGTAAAGTAGCTTAAAGTTCTTTGTAAGCAACAGTTACAATAAATGTTTTTACTTTGATCACAAATGTGCTAAATGCTTGTTAAAGCAAGTTTGTCAGGGATTGCTATAGACAACATTTTAATAGTATCTTCAGCAAGTATGCATTTAAAGTAACGGCCCGTTTCTTTTACAGTGTGCAGACAGAGCTGCTTGTGAATATGTATTTGAATTGGTGATGTTTTATTATATTTTTCAAGCATTGTGTTTGGAATACTCACATATAAAGAATTATTCAGTTAAACAGAATATACAGATGAAAATGGGTGATACATGGGGCCCTTCATCAGCATTCAGTTCTCTTTTAGGATAGCTTTGTCTAATAGAATTTTCTGGATTGATGAAAATGTTCTGTATCTGCTCCATCCAGAATGGTGCCACTGGCCGCATGGGGCTAGTGAACACCTCATATGTGGCTTTTGTGACTGAGGAACTTAATTTTAAATTTTATTTGATTTTAATTAAACTTAAATAGCCACATATGGCTAGAAGCTGCCATATTGGACACTATTGCTATAGAATTTCCCATCATAAATATATTCCTCTAGCTATTAATTTATTTCTGCTTTTCGTTACAGCCATGCTTCTCGAACAAGTTGTGTGTGTGTATTTGTGTGCAGTTTCATTTCATTTTCCGGTCTCTCATTCATTCCTTATTTTAAAGTGTTCATTCTAATTCATATTTGTATATGGTATTTAAAAAAGTACTGTCAATTTAAATAACATCCAGAGAAAGGCTCTCTAAAAGAAACTGATATTTATTCAGGATTGAGCATTGCAATGGGAATATGGCGGGCATATTCAGGGAAGTAAAGGAAGATAGGAGTTTTTAAAGGGGAAATGAGGAGGATTATCTAAGTTTTTTTGAGATAGCCATCCTTGGCTATAAGGATCAATAACAAGGGTGGCATCAATTTAAGGTTGGACAGGCAATTGTTGGGCAGATGTCCTTGCAGAATTATTTTTTGTGCAAGGTTGTGGTGGCCTTTGTGCAAGTTCTGGCTTTTGAAGTCTCTTGAATAGTTGTTATCAATCACACATGCATGAGAACCCTTCCTTCATGGCTTTTTAAGGCTCCATTTATCAGTCACTTACGTCTATTAGAGTGACTCTGATGAAGTCACTTGTGCTCCGACACAAATTACTCAATTTTTTTTTCTTTTGAGATGGAGTTTCACTATGTTGTTCAGGTTGGAGTGCAATCTTGGCTCACTGCAACCTCTGCCTCCTGGGTTCAAGCTGTTCTCTTGCCTCAGCCTCCCGAACAACTGGGATTACAGCCCTGTGCCACCACGCCTGGCTAACTTTTTTTTTTTTTTTTGTATTATTAGTAGAGACTGGGTTTCACCATGTTGGCCAGGCTGATCTCGTACTCCTGACCTCAAGTAATCTGCCCACCTTGGCCTTACAAAGTGCTGGGATTACAGGAAACGATGCCTGGTCAAATGACTCCATTTTGATCCTGACAGCTTTCACAGTATATACCTGTAAAAGCAGTCATTTTTATCCCAATTTGATTTTTATTTGGTAATTGTCTCCATAATTAATATATTTTTTGCACCTCTTAAGATACCAACTTTACACAATAATTATAGACTCTGTTGGAGAGTGTAATTCACAATAACACCTACCTCCCTTCTCTACTGTGGATAGTTATGTTTTTATTTTAAATTTTTTCGTCACTTTAATACTTTTTATTTCTTCTTTAACTTTAGGTAGTATTTCTTGATTTTCCACTACATAGAATACTAGCTTCCCTTCCCTTCTGCTTCTCCTCTGTTTTCTGCCTCTCACCTTCAGTTAATTACACTTTCCCTTTCACATTATTAAGCTTGATTACATTAACCTTCTCTTCCATTACAACTATGTTTCCTGTGTCTTGTCTATATACATATTGAAAAGTAAAAACAAGTAAGTAACAGTTTCTTTTTTAATCCATTGTGACTGCCAGTGCTTCTGCCAAAGGAAAAAGTTCTTACGAAAATCAAGGTGTATTCTTACTTCATGGTAGAAGTGCTCAGACTCTTTTAGTTTGCTATATATTTATACTGTGATTCTCTTGTTCAGTTTTTGCTTTGCATAGACTTTCAAATTGCTTTTATTCTCTTGTTGACATAATGTGCTTTCATCATGTCTTCAAGTCCTTTAGTCATGCTGTCTGTGGCATGGAATCTGCTTTTATCCCGAGACACCTTCTCAAAGCCCTTTAAATTTGCTGCAGTCCTCACTCATTGCTCTCTGGGCCTTCTGCATAGCTCTTATCCTGGGAGTTGGTATCATTGCACTCCTGAATTGGATCACCTGTTTCCTGGATTCTGTTTCTTATTATTTGGCTTTCTTTGACAGTTTTCTGAAAGAATCAGAAAAAGTGTATGCAAGGTAAACTCAGTTCTTCAAAATCTGAAGATGTTGCCATTTTTCTCTTACACTTGATTGATTGATAATGTGTCTAAAGAATTCTAGGTCAATAGTTCTTTTTCCTGAGAAATTATAGGCATTATTTTTTGTATTATTTTTTATTGTACATTAGGTTCTGGGTACATGTGCAGATCATGCAAGGTTGTTGCATAGGTGCATACATAACCAGGTGGTTTGCTGCCTCCATTCCCCCTTCATCTATATCCAGCATTTCTCCCCATGTTATCCCTCCTCAACCCCCGCTGTCCTTCCTGTAGCCTGCCTCCCCAGCTGACCCCAGTGTGTGATGCTCCTCTCCCTGAGTCCACGTATTCTCATTGTTCAACACCCACCTATGAGTGAGAACATGCGGTGTTTGGTTTTCTGTTCTTGTGTCAGTTTGCTGAGAATGATGGTTTCCAGATTCATCCAGGTCCCTACAAAGGACATGAACTCATCGTTTTTTATGGCTGTGTAGTATTCCATGATGTATATGTGCCACATTTTCATTGTCCAGTCTATCATTGATGGGCATTTGGGTTGGTTCCAGGTCTTTGCTATTGTACACAGTGCTGCAATGAACATACATGTGCATGTGTCTTTATAATAGAACTATTTATTATCCTTTGGGTGTATACCCAGTAATGGGATTGCTGTGTCAAGTGGAATTTCTATTTCTAGATCCTTGAGGAATTGTGTTTCTATTTCTCCACATTCTCTCCAGCATCTGTTGTCTTCAGCTTTTTTAATGACTGCCATTCTAACTGGCATGAGATGATACCTCAATGTGGTTTTGATTTGCATTACTCTAATGGCCAGTGATGATGAGCATTTTTTCATATGTTTGTTGGCCTCATATATATCTTCTTTTGAGAAGTGTCTGTTCATATCCTTTGCCCACTTTTGAATGGTTTTTTTTTTTCTTGTAAATCTGTTTTAGTTTTTTGTAGATTCTGGATATTAGCCCTTTGTCAGATGGGTAGACTGCAAAAATTTTTTCCCATTCTGTTGGTTGCCAGTTTGCTCTAATGATTGTTTCTTTTGCTGTACAGAAGCTGTGGAGTTTAATTAGACCCCATTTGTCTATTTTGGCTTTTGTTGCCATTGCTTTTGGTGTTTTAGTCATGAAGTCCTTGCCTATCTCTATGTCCTGGATGGTTTTGCCTAGGTTTTCTTCTAGGGTTTTTATGGTGTTAGGTCTTATGTTTAAATCTTTAATCCACCTTGAGTTAATTTTACTGTAAGGTGTCAGGAAGGGGTCCAGTTTCTGCTTTCTGCACATGGCTAGTCAGTTTTCCCAACACCATTTGTTAAACAGGGAGTCCTTTCCCCATTGCATGTTTTTGTCAGGTTTGTCACAGCCAATATCATACTGAACGGGCAAAAACTGGAAGCATCCCCTCTGAAATCAGGCACTAGACAAGGATGTCCTCTGTCACCACTCCTATTCAATATAGTTTTGGAAGTTCCAGCCAGAGCAATCAGGCAAGAAAAAGAAATGAAGGGTATTCAGTTAGGAAAGGAGGAAGTCAAATTGTCTCTATTTGCAGACGACATGATTGTATATTAAGAAGACCCCATTGTCTCAGCCCAGAATCTCCTTAAGGTGATACGCAACTTCAGCAAAGTCTCAGGATACAAAATCAATGTGCAGAAATCACAAGCATTCCTGTATACCAATAACAAACAACCAGATCAAGAGTGAACTCCCATTCACAATTGCTACAAAGAGAATAAAATACCTAGATATACAACTAACCAAGTATGTAAAAGATCTCTTTAAGGAGAACCACAAACCACTGCTCAACGAAATAAGAGAGGACACAAATAGATGGAAAAACATTCCATGCTCATGGTTAGGAAGAATCAATATCATGAAAATGGCCATGCTGCCTAAAGTAATTTATAGATTCAATGCTATCCCCATCAAGTTACCAATGACCTTCACAGAACTGGAAAAAACCACTTTAAACTTCATATGGAACCAAAAGAGAGCCCGCATAGCCAAGACAGTCCTAAGCAAAAGGAACAAAGCTGGAGGCATCACACTACCTGACTTCAAACTATACTAATCAAAACAGCATGGTATTGGTACCAAAACAGAGACATAGACCAATGGAACAGAACAAAGGCCTCGGAAGCAGCACCACACTACTACAACCATCTGATCTTTGAAATTACAGGCATTATTCCATTGGTTTCTAGTATTCAGTGTTCAGTTGAGATGTCTAATAATGAGATGTCTTTTATTTCTTTGTATTGGACCTACTTTTTTTTCTAGGAAAGCTTTTAGGATCTCTGTTTTTATCCTGAAATTGCACAAGGTATGTCTAAATATGGGTTTTTACCTTCTTGCACTGTGAGACACTAGTTGGACCTTTCAGTCTAAAGACATATGACTTTCTTCAGTTCGAGAAATTTTATGTTGGTCATTGGGATTTTCTTATGAATTTGGCCTTGCATCTTCCTTCTTACATTCTAGAAGATTTTTTCACTTCATATTCAAGCCTGTCTTTTGGATTTTTAAAATTTTGTCAATTGTATTTTTGATTTCCAAGCAAGAGCCCTTGTCCATTGTCCTTTTTTCATTGACACTTATTATGAATGCAATATCTTCCAGAAACTCTTCTGAGGATACTAGTTATAATTCTGTTATGAATTCTGTTACATTTTCTTCTGTACCTGAACTTTCTTTTCTTCTTGGTCTGTTCTATTTACCTTTCTTGGCATTTTCTTCTATTGTCCGTTTGCATTATAAGTTGAATATTATAGGTAGCTGTCATAAATTTTCTTTTCTGTGATGTAATAATCTAGGTCTGTTTTCCCAATAGACTTTCCCTTATGTGGTTGCTTTGTGAATATAGGCATGAAATGCTAACTATGGGCTTCCTTTTGGAGTGTATAAGCAGGATCCAGCCATTCAGTTGGGGCTCTTACATTTGCTGTTTCCATCCTTGACTTTTTGCTTAGAAGGACAGATGTGGTGTGCAGCAGCTTGACTGGCAAAAGTATACAGTAGTCAAATTTTCAAGTAATCCCCCATATTTCAGTTCTACTTCTCACTTTCTTTCTCTGTACCTGTCAGCTTTGTGGCTATAGCCTTTTCGGGGTCCCCCCAAAATATACTGGCTTTCACCTGTCATTTTCTTCTAATGTATATCTATTCTGGACTGTGGTTTTTGCTCAGTTGTACACTTTCACATACTTTCCATCTACTCCCAGTCTTCCAGATATTTGCTGAAATATCTTGTATGCTAGTGATTCTCTTCCGAGACAATTCTCTTTACTGATTATGGGTTTATTTCCTTTTATACGTCCTTGCTGTCAATGAAAGGAGGTGAGATAAATGTGTGCTCAGTCTATAGTCTTGAACTAGAAGCATCCCTCCTTTGAATTAGGACATTCCACCTAAACAACTCTTGCTAAGGGCTCCCGTGGCCTCCCTGTTACTAAGTCCAGGGTACACTTTTCTGTCCGTATGTTTCCAGGTCTGACAGTGGTATTATGCACAATTAACTACTTTGTTTCCTTGATGCCATGTTTATGTAATATTTTCCTTATCTTTCCAACTGCTCCCTTTTAGTCTGCTTTGCTGGCATTTTCCCCCTTTACCTGACCCTAAATATTGAGTTCCTCATGTCTTGAGACTTACTTCTTTTCTCCCTCTACTCTTCTCTCTGGATAATCTCACCCATTCTCATGGCTTCTAATACCTTCTAAATGTCAGCGACTTTCTGTCTTATATCATAGCCCAGATGTCTCTCTTGATTTTTAAACCCATATATTCATCTGCTTGGATGGATACACAAATGAATCAAAGGGCATCTCAAGTTCTTGATGCATCCTCCTTCCCCCAAGTCTCTCCTCTTGCCTTCAGCATCTCAGTAAATGTGATCACCATCCACTCAAGATATGTGTCATCTTGATCTGTGTGTTTTTCTCACTCCCCACTTCCAGTTCATCGCTCTCAGTTCTTTGCCAAAATATTTCTCAAATTTATTTGCTTTTCATCATCTCTAATGCCAGTATACCTTAGTTAGAGCTACCATCATCTTTCTTCTAGACTATTGCAATTGCTTACTGGATTTCCTGCTTCCCTTTCTGTTATCCTCCAATTACCCGCAGCATATAAGAAATGTAAATCAAATCATTGCCAGACCTTCTCTAGTTTTTCATTGCTGTTAGATTAAATTATGAAATTTTTAACATGGCCTAAAAGGCTTTGCCAGAAATGGCCACTGCACACCTCTCTCATCTCCTGTTTTTTCATTTCTCTGCTTGTTGCTATGCTACAGGTAGGCTGGCCCCCTTTCTTTTCTCTTTCCTGTTTTTTAAGCCTTCACGTATGTTGTTGTCTCTGCCTGTAATGTCCTTTACTCTGGTTCCTATTACATATGTAATTATTTAAAAATTTTACTCCCTCAGAGAGGCCTTTCCTGGCTATCTGTTGTTTAAATTAGGTACCTGCACATTCGTCCTCTTTCCCCAAGATTCCCAGATGTGAGTTAATATGTGTGTTAAAATGTGAACTTGACAGGTGGTTTTTCACAAGGATACTGACAAATGCTTTAAGGGATATAAAAAGTCTCTGTACTTGATTATGAGGGGTGACATTGCTGGGGTGCTCTCTACTGAAAATAGTTTAGGTATTCAGAAGCCAAATCCTTCTATTAAAATACTTTTCTAACTACCATAGTGGGCTAATAAGTATAGTGCCAATGTACGGGAAAATAATACATGTTTGTTATTTTTTAATTCTTATCTATAGTATTAAGAAGGACTGTTCAAACTCGTCCTGCTCCACGAATTCCTCCAACTGTGGAAATACTTGAGAAGGAACAAAACTGGGAAAAGAAGACCTTACCTATTGATACAGACATTCAGAATTCAAGTGAAGAGAGTCGTCTCTTCACTCAGAGGTGGAGAGTCTCTCATATGGGAGAAGATTTGGAGAACAAAACTCAGTCTCCTTTTGTTAACCTCTCACAGCCCCTCTGCAATTCCCATTCCAACAGTCAACATTCAAGAAACCCCACATTCTCAGAAGAGCGCCCAGTACTGGGAGATGGGCAGCAGCTGAGAACAAGTGAGGCATTAATACAAAGAAAGGACATAGTAGCACGAATTGCTGAGTTGACGCTGCAGAATCCAGCTATCAAGGCACCTATGAATAATACTATTGAACCCGGAGGAGAGCAAGGGGACGGACTCTGGGAGTTGAAGAAACAAGAAAGTGCAAGTGACATGACTTCTGTGAGTAACACTGAAGGCTTGATTAGGGACATAGAGGAATTTAAATAAGAAGGAACTTTAGCTTGAGCATCTTAAGAAACTTCGTTTCAGAAGTGATCCTAGAAAGCTTTGAGGCTAGATGGCTTATGCTTTGGCATGTCCTCAATACAGTAGGTCCAAGTTATTTATCAGTCAGTTGTACATACAATACAAGACAGCATAAAAGGAAAATTACATAAATGAAAAGACAAAGATAAAATGTGTAGAAAAGCTAAGACTAAGGAATGAAGTTTTAAGTGAAAAGTATAGACTTAATATTACTTGAATGTTTGCCACACAGCCACACGTTGATTGAAGTATTTTTATTCTTACAGTGGCTCATAAGAGTATTGGCCCTCAACTCATTAGTAGTTAATTTTTGAGGACATAGAATGCATTTTCCTATAGAAATGAGGGGTTTTTTAAATTTTGTTTTTAAGATGGAGTCTCGCTCTGTTGCCCAGGCTGGAGTTCAGTGGCCTGATCTCAGCTTACTGCAACCTCTGCCTCCCGGGTTCCAATGGTTCTCCTGCCTCAGCCTCCTGAGTAGCTGGGATTACAGGTGCATGCCACCACACCCGGCTAATTTTTGTATTTTTAGTAGGGACAGAATTCCACCAAGTTGGTTAGGCTGGTCTCTAACTCCTGACCTTGTGATTCGCCCGCCTCAGCCTCCCAAAGTGCTGGGATTATAGGCATGAGCTACCGTACCCTGCCTGTTTTGTTTTTTTGAGATGGAGTCTCACTCTGTTGCCCAGGCTGCAGTACAGTGGCGTCATCTTGGCTCTCTGCAACCTCCGCCTCCTGGGTTCAAATGATTCTCCTGCCTCAGCCTCCCGAGTAGGTGGGAGCTGTGCACCACTATGCCCAGTGAATTTTTGTATTTTTTGTAGAGATAGGGTTTCACCATGTTGGCCAGGCTGGTCTCAAACTCCTGACCACAAGTGATCTGCCTGCCTCAGCCTCCCAAAGTGCTGGGATTACACACGTGAGGCACCGCGCCTGGCCAGAAATGATGATTTAAAGGATTATTAAAGCCAGACTTTAATATGCATATTAATCATTTTGGGATCATGCTAAAATGTGGTTTCTGATTGAGGAGGTCTAAGGTAGGACCCGTGCATTTCTAATAAGTTCCCAAATGATGCCAGTGCTGTTGGTCTCAGGATCATGCTTTGAGTAGCAAAGGTCTGCATATTACAGTGCAGGAGTTTTGTAAGTTAAATAAACTTTGTGGGCTAACCTGGTAACTTAAAACGTCATTTCCTTGTTTCGGCGGGGAAGATAAGGAAGTCTAAATTCCATCTAGGGAGAGCTTTTCAAAGATCTCCAAATGCTGGTTCCAGTGATGATAGACACTTTCTTTTACCCCTTCTAGAGCCAAGGCAGTTCCTATCAAGTTTCTGATAGAAGGAGCTGGGGACTGTCACTGGGGATTAGAGGCTCCTGAGGTGCTGCCTTCATAAGGGCTTTAACAACAGTGGTTGGAGGGCTTTGGTGAGGAAGGTCAGGGTGAGGTTGGCCATAGAGTAAGGGCCATCTCTATCAGCACTGGCTCATAGGGAATAAGGACAATATGGGTATCAAATCATAGAAGTAGTAGACAGAAGGAACTGGCAGAAGAGGAACCAGAAAGGAATATTGCTGGTAGGAATCTGCCATTGGTAGTGGTGCATACCAGCTGCCTCAATTCTGAGTCATTGGGAGGTATTTATATGTTTGTAGTTTCGAAGATTATTCATAACAGGCAACTCTTGGTTTAAAAAATAACAGAGTCTATCTAATGTTTTGCTTGCCCGGTTTTTTTAATTAGTATGTACATCAGGCTAGAAGGCACGAATATTTCTGTCCTTGCTACCCTCTTGTTTTAATTGGAAATACAAAATAATCTTTATTTCATACTTTTTTTCTTATTTATTCATTTCTAATAGACATAAGCTAAAAATCAGTGATTTTTATTAGGGATTGTTTTTTCCCAAAGAGAAATGAAATAATTAGAAATGAAACACTGAAATAATTAGGAATGATGAAATAGGAATGACATAAGCACAGTAAACTTATGCTATATTTTTTGGGTGGCTATTTTTTACCCTGTGTCTCATATTTATTTCCAATCACCAGCTATTCCCGAATCAGATACCTTAGGCCAAAAGTGGCCTGGGGAGGCTGGCATATGGTTAGAAGGAGTGACAAGATTCCCAGAATCTTTGTCAAATGGTGCATGTTTGAAGATTGTAATTATAGAAACTTACGTTTCGAAGATAGCAGATCCTGTTTTGTAATCTGTCAAATCCCAGATCTGTCTTCAAAGATGCATGATATTTACTTAGAGACCAGCTCACTAGGAGTAGTCTCTTTGCTCTTGTGATCTTTTGTGCAGCTCTGCAGATACTAAGAGATACAGGAAGGCTTTTCCCAGAATATGTGCTGAGACAAAGGGACTGTAAATTCTACTGTGTGCTCACTATTCACATTTGTATATAAGGGCTATGAATACCAACTTGCTGGCACTTAGTAGAAAAGTCAAAATTGTGTGAGAGATTTTTCAGTATTAAATTTGTGCTTCTTTTTTCTCCCAAAGACTTTTCCATTGGCACAGTCTCTAGCACCAGGTAGTATGGAGGAACGGATTGCAGAATTGAATCGACAAAGTATGGAGGCTCGTGGAAAACTACTGCAGTTGATAGAGCAGCAGAAACTTGTTGATTTGAATCCTTCTCCACCAACGTCACCTGTTCACTTACCTCTCAGAGCATGGACTGGTTGGTCACAAATTCATGATTTAAAAACTGGAAATATGAAGGTTTTCACTTTTCTTGATTTTGCAAGTTCATGTTGAGCCAAAAGAAATATCAGAGCATAAAGAGAAGAAAAAAAAAAAGAAATATCAGAGCATATATTTTGGTCCCTTCAATTTTACTCGGAAAGAAACAGCCCAAAGTCACAGAATAAGTGACAGAAATGGGACTAGAATGCAAATCTCCTGATTCTTCCTATCCTATGATGCCTATAGTTACTATTTGGTGTCTGAGTTCATAAATTATCCTACATCTAAATGGGATTCGTTATAGTGTACGGTTTACTTAGGTCATATGCTGCAGCTAAGGATGAAATATAAATATCTGAATGTTAATTTAGAATTTCATCTGCAGCAAATTATAAATTTTTATTCTGTAAAACTGTTAAAACATTTTCACTCGTTAATTAAATTTTCTGTTACATTTAGGAATGTGAAAAGCTAGAGGGGATTCTGAATAAATAATAAAATAGTAACTGAAAAATTGTCATAGTATTCACATTCAAAAAGATACTGATGAAGTACATATCAAGTTGCTTTTTTATCAGAAATTGCATTATTGAAGCCCTCAAGGGGTAGAGCTACATGAAGAGTACAGAGAGATTGATTTTGGCCCAGTAAAAGAGAAGTCTATAATAGAAAAAGCTCTGTATACCAGCAATTGATGTGTTCTCTGAGATGTTCAAACATTGGTGTTTGAGGGGGACGCATATGTCTTATTTCTGGTTAAAGTAGTTTCCTTTAAGATATCTTCCAGGAAGAGTTTTCCCCTTGTTAGAAATTATTTCCTTTTTGAAATTACAGACCCAGAAAGCAGACTCTTTTGGAAATTACTGGAAAAAGATGGGTAATGCATTCCCCCAGTGTTCTTTCTCTTTGTTTATTCTAGGCTTCCTCAAATGACAGTTTTGTCTACTGTTCTTCATAGTTATGAAGCCTAGAGATGACTTCTGATTATAATAAATAAAAGCAGTCAACTATGTATGAACATGTACTATGTGCCTGCCATGTGTGGGCTTGAATACTCTAGCATTTGAGTAGGGGAGCAGGCAACAAACAAATCAGTATCTGGGATAATATCAGTGCTAAGTACAAGGAAGAAAAATAAAGCAGATCAGTCTTAAGAATAATTTTGTGTTTAAATATGACATCTGCCATTTCAGTATTTCTGTAGGTTAAAGTATGATTTTGTTTGTTATATTATTTAGCCTTCAACACACCTTAAGAGTAGATAAGGCTAATAGTATGCCTATTCGATAAATAAGCAAACTGAGGAACAAAGATATAATGTGATTTATCAGGTTCCAAAGCAAGTTGTGAATTTACAACTGTGTTCTTTCCCATCCAATGATTTATCTCTAAAGTATTCTTTTTATAGGTAAAATTCTTATGCTTATTTTTTAAAAAACTTTTGTGGGCTATAATGATAAAAATTTAAAAAACTATAAGCCATGAAAAACCTCTTTTGTTTTCTAGGGTAACTGGGGAGTATTTTGTAAAATTAAATGGCGTTTTATTACCTCGTAAAGTCAGGAAATCAAGCAAAGCCAGGAGCCTCTGTGAAACTGCCTGTGATGGACATAAAGTCTTTTATTAGTAAATACTTAGCAAATACATGCTGATTGATTACCTACTTCTGAAATATGGAAAATATTCATAATTATACTCACAATTGGCCATATGGAGCTCTTCAGCCAACTTTCCTCTCCCACTTTAATGTCTTCCATTATAGTCATAATCAATTTAAAGGATTTAAAGTTTTACAGAATGACTTCAGAAATTTCCTTTTTCCTTTTTTTTTTTTTTGGTGGGGGGAAAACTTTAGGTAAACTCTTTTGGGCAAAGATCTCAAGTTTTTTAGGTCTAGCTCTTAATTTCTGTTGTTTACTTCCAGAAATGACATGATGTCACTTGTCTGAAGATTCTTGCTCTCTATGAACTGGCATGCTGTGAATGAACACTAGTAACTAAAGTTTCTTGTCTCACAGTTCATTAAAAAAAAAATCTTTCAAGTATATCTTGGCCTAAGATTAAAAAATTAAAAAAAAAAATATAGAAAGAACCACCAAATTTATGAAGTGCAATTTGCAGTAAGATAGAAATTGAGTGACATTTTTATTTCATTGAAAGGTAATGTTTGTTTTTATGTTTCAGAAGGAGGAAAGAGGACAATTGAGGTATCTATTCCAGGAGCAGAAGCCCCAGAAAGCTCAAAATGTAGTACTGTCTCTCCTGTCAGTGGGATAAATACAAGAAGGTAGGTTGCAGTGTGAATATTTACTTAAAAAAAAAAAAAGAATTTGGTATGTATTTTATTCTCTTTGTGAAAAAAGGAAGTGTACAACATCTGACTTAGGTTGAGACAAGTTCATGCGAAGAGTAAAGTAATTCGAAAAGAGAATTTTGGTGGGAAAGAGAGTGAGGAATAAACTTTACGTAGAAAGGCATAGGTTTGCTACCGAAAACAAAAGTGAATAACACATATGTAGAGTATTTATGGGTTACAAAATTAGGAGGTGATACATGACAGGGCAGCTGAATTGACCAATAGTATTTTCCTCTTTCACAGTAAGTGAGACTGAAGCTCTCATTGCTAATTGAGTGATTTGTCTAGATGGGTCATATGATTGGTAAATGGTGACACTAAGGACATACCTGACCTTTCTGTTTACTCTGCATCCTTACTATTGTGCTGTGCTATTCTAGGTCTTGTTACTCTTCTACTACTTGGACCTTGTTCCCCATCCCTGCACATTCATTTTTCTCTTTATTGTTAAAAACTTACCCATGTAATATTTAATGACATGTATCTGCCATTACAACATTTGTCAAAACTCACTGAATGTGTAACAGAGTGAACCCTGATGTAAACTATCGACTTCAGTCAATTCTAACATAGCAATATTAGATCATCCATTGTAATAGATTTGTCACACTAATGCAAGATCATCATAATAGGAGAAACTGTCTGTGTTTTGAAAGGGGGGGTTAAGGGGTATATGGGAACTCTGTACTTTCCACTCATCTTCCCATAAACCTAAAACTACTCTAAGAATTAGACTGTATTTGTGTTAGTCTGTTTTCATACTACTGATAAAAACATAACCGAGATTGGGAAGAAAAAGAGGTTTAATTGGACTTACAATTCCACATGGCTAGAGAAGCTTCAAAATCATGGTGGGCGGCAAAGGATGCTTCTAACATGGTGGCAGCAAGAGAAAATGATGAAGCAGCAGAAGCTGAAACCCCTGATAAACCCATCAGATCTCATGAGACTTGTTCACTATCACAACAATAGCATGGGAAAGACTGGCCCCCATGATTCAATTACCTCTCCCTGAGTCCCTCCCACAACACATTGGAATTCTGGGAGATACAATTCAAGTTGAAGTTTGAGTGGGGACACAGCCAAACCATATCTTTCTATCCCTGACCCCTCCAAATTTCATGTCTTCACATTTCAAAACCAATCATGCTTTCCCAGCAGTCCTCCACAGTCTTAACTCATTTCAGCATTAACCCAAAAGTCTACAGTCCAAAGTCTTATCTGAGACAAGGCAAGTATCTTCTGCCTGTGATCCTGTAAAATCAAAAGCAAGCTAGTTACTTCCTAGATACAATGGGGGTTCAGGTATTGGGTAAATACAGCCATTCCAAATGGGAGAAATTGACCAAAACTAAGGGGTTCCAGGGTCCATGCAAGTCTGAAATTCAGCAGGGCAGTCAAATGTTAAAGCTCTAAAATGATCTCCTTTGACTCCAGGTCACATGATGCAAGGGGTGGGTTCCCATGGTCTTGGGCAGTTCCGCCCCTGTGGTTTAACAGGGTACATCCTTCCCTCCTGGCTGCTTGTATGGGCTGGCACTGAGTGTCTGTGGCTTTTCCAGGCACATGATGAAAGCTGTTGGTGGATCTACCATTCTGGGGTCTGGAGAACGGTGGTGCTGTCTCTTCTCACAGCTCCACTAGGTAGTGCCCCAGCAGGCACTCTGTGTGGGGACTCTGACCCCACAGTTCCTTTCCACATTGCCCTAGAAGTTTTTTGTGAGTGCCCTACCTTGCAGCAAACTTCTGCCTGGGTATCCAATCTAGGTGGTGGTTCCCAAACCTTAGTTCTTGACTTCAGTGAACCCTCAGGCTCAACACCATGTGGAAGCTGCCAAAGCTTGGGGCTTCCCTCTGAAGTCACAGCCTGAGCTGTACATTGATCCCTTTCAGCCATGGTTAGAGTGGCTGGAACATAGGGCACCAAGTCCCTGGGCTGTACACAGCACACAACCTTGGGCCCAGCTCACAAAACCACTTTTTCCTCCTGGGGTTCTGGGCCTGTGATGGTAGGGGATGCTGTGAAGGTCTCTGACATGGCCTGGAGACATTTTCCCCATGGTCTTGGGGATTAACATTAGGGTCCTTGCTACTCTAGCAAATTTCTGCAGCCAGCTTGAATTTCTCCCCAGAAAATGGGTGTTTCTTTTCTATCACATAGTCAGGCTGCCAATTTTCCAAACTTTTATGTTCTGCTTCCCTTATGAAACTAAATGCCTTTAACAGTACCCAAGTCACCTCTTGAATGCTTTGCTGATTAGAAATTTCTTCAAACAGATCCCCTCAATCATCTCTCTCAAAGTTCCCCAAATCTCTAGGGGAGGGGCAAAATGCCACCATTCTCTTTGCTAAAACATAACAAGAATCACCTTTGCTTCAGTTCCTAACAAATTCCTCATCTCCATCTGAGACCAGCTCAGCCTGGATAATATTGTCCATATCATTATCAGCATTTTGAGCAAAGCCATTCAAGTCTCTAGGAAGTTCCAAACTTTCCCACATTCTCCTGTCTTCTAAGCCCTCCAAACTGTTCCAGCCTCTGCCTGTTACCCAGTTCCAAAGTCACTTCCACATTTTTGGGTATCTTTTCAGCAGCGCCCCACTCTACTGGTACCAATTTACCATATTAGTCCATTTTCATGCTGCTGATAAAAACTTAGACTGGGAAGAAAAAGGAATTTAATTGACCTTACAGTTCAACATGGCTGGGGAGGCCTCAGAATCATGGCAGGAGGCAAAGGGCACCTCTTACATGGTGGTGGCAAGAGAAAATGAGGAAGAAGCAAAATGAAACAGTAGCAAAAGCGGAAACCCCTGTTAAACCCATGAGATCTCATGAGACTTACTCTCATGAGACTAGCATGGGAAAGAGCAGCCCCCATGATTCAGTTACCTCCCCTTAGGTCCCTCCCACAACATAGGGGAATTCTGGGAGATACAATTCAAGTTGTGATTCTGATGGGGACACAGGCAAACCATATCATTATCAATTAACAAAAGACTTACAGGTTGGTGAAAATAAGTTACAAATGATGTACCTCATTTGGACCTAAGTCAGCCGTTTGTTTTCAAGCTCTTGCCAGTGTTGAGAATTGTCAGTTGTTTGTATAATCTTTTAAAGTTAATAATGATAGCTCACTCTCTTATTCTTTTATTTTTCATAAATAGATCTTCCGGGGCTACTAGTAATTCTTGTTCTCCACTAAATGCCACCTCAGGAAGTGGGAGATTCACACCTCTTAATCCAAGAGCAAAGGTACACCATAAAGTGTAATTATGAAATGTATGTAGGGGTCGTGAGGGTGAGGGTGAGGGTGAGGGTGAGGGTGAGGGTGAGGGTGGAAGGTGGCTGATTTAGTGATTTCCATTCTTCATTACTATTCCTGTTATCCTAAAGCTGATATGAAATTCTTAAAAGAAATATTAATTTACCTTCATTAGGAAAACAAGCCATAAACTACTTCTGTTTTCTAAGGTAACTAAGGAATAAGGTAAAATTCAGTAGGATATTCAGCAGTCCTTAAAGACTGGAAAGTACTGGTTTCAGGTTGAGCTTCCCAAATAGTCTGGCAGGAGACACAGGTGTGCCTTGAATGGGTTGTAGATCTCCTGAGCTATTGTTTCCTGCAGCCCTTGTGACTGGGTGGGGTCTGGGACAGCCAGAGCACTAGGTCCAGTCACTTTTCCTCTCACTTTATCCCTGTGTGCCATACCTGACTGTGCCATTGGTTAGATAAGTTATGGTACCAGGAAAAATAAATGTCTTAATGTTTTCTTCATGTATTTTAATGTGCCACATGTATGTATAGAAGCTAAGCATTTCACAGTATATTCAAAATTTTTGCAGAAGGCATTTTTCTGTGGTGCTAGTATAGGAAAATATAGTTCCTTTGAGTGGTTATAGTAAATTGTGAGGATATTTTTTAAATTATAAAAATTAATTTTGTATACTTGAGCCAACAACTGTCTGACATTGGAACATCTTTGCATTTCTTATTACTGAGTTCAGTAATTAGATCAAAGAATGGGTGTTTTTAGTTCAAATTAAATGGTAGGCTTATATACCTGAATTGTCCAGTACTAGGAGCTTTGTTCTTTGCTACTTCTTACATGCTACAAAAGCTTTAAAGTAAGCTATTTTATATAAATTATTCTTAGTTCCTAGAATTTAGTAACATTTGATTTACTAAGACCAAATAATTATCTTTTTATCATTTTAAAAATTTGTATCCATGATATCTATAAAACACTGGGCTCTTAAATCAAAAAGAGGATCTGTTGACCAGTAGATCTTACCTCTTAAATCAGTAAGAGGATTAGTTATTTGATAGTATCTCTGTTAGAAAATAAACATTGCCAGTAGCAATTTAATGTCCAGTACCATTCAGTGGCACAGGATGACTTTATTTTATGCACTTGGTCTAAATGATCTGTAAATCTTAGTAGTCTCATATTTCTGATTACAATCAAAATTTGTTCTGCCTTTGTTCAACAGATTGAAAAACAGAATGAAGAAGGCTGGTTTGCTCTTTCTACCCATGTATCATAAGTGAAGTCAAGTCTCACGGAGTTTGTTCTTAGTAACTTATTTTTGACCTTCCACTCCCGTTTCCCTGCTTTTAAGTTTTTATATCCTTTCAAGTAAAACCTACAAAGATCCTGTGAATTAATAACAAAGAAACGAAAGCAATTATTTTTTGACTTTTTCAAATAAGTTTTCAACTAGCCTGCAGTTGAAACCAACTGGCCTGCAGCTCCCGGTGAATGAAATTTTGACTGTACAGAAGTAAAATTTTGTATTTTAATACTTTCTTAAGAATTTTAAGGGTCTTTTTTTGATGAATACATTTTTACCATTGTCATCTTTATTCAGGTTTTTTTGAGGTTTAGTGCATCTTAAATGTTGATCCATTTCATTCCCCCCCCTCCCCCGAAGAACTAATTTGCTTTGAGTGGAACTTAAAATAAAATTCCTCTGTGTGAGTAGAGTCTGGCCTTCAGGAAAATGCAGCATCCACTTTTCTTTCTTTTTTTGATGGGATGTCATTGCTGTCTGTCACTTTTTCTGTCAAGTGAAATATACAACTTTAAAAAAATAGATGTGGGAGTATTTGTTTATATTTGCTTAAGCAGGTAAGAGCGGTTGTAGTTATTACAAAATCTTACATAGTTTTGAAATGTGAAAATGTCATCAATAATGGTAATGCAAATCAAATAAATAATGATTTTAGAGCTCAAATGCCTAAATGTGGTAACACTGATTTAATGGTATATTGAATGTTTCAAACAATTAAATAGAAAACGTTGCTATCGGTTTTCCCAGCCCTGAATTTAAGCAGTATTTCAGGGTAGATTTCTCTTTTTTTCTTTTTGAGACAGAATCTCGCTCTGTTGCCCAGGCTGGAGTGCAGTTGCTCAATCTGGCTTACTGCAACCTCAGTCTCCCAGGTTCAAGCAGTTCTCCTGCCTCAGACTCCTGAGTAGCTAGGATTATAGGTACAGGCTACCACACCCAGCTAATTTATGTATTTTCAGTAGAGATAGGATTTCACTATATTGGCCAGGCTGGTGTCAAACTCCTGACCCCAAATGATCCACCTGCCTTGGTCTCCCAAAGTGCTGGGATTACAGGCATGAGCTGCTGCGTCCGGCTCAGAGTGGATTTTTCCAGGTACCCATTTGGTTCTTAGATGTTGATTTCTATTTTAAACTTTTTTTTTTTAATGAGCTCTGCCCCTTGGCCCTATGATAGGAATTCTCAACCTGAGTGAGATGGAAGTGGAGTGGAACAGCACATTGAACCACTTGGATAACTTTTCTGCTATAGCTGTAAATCACTGTTCTACGAAGTATCCTTTGCAGCTTTTACTTGGGCCTTTTCATTTTTGTGGTGGCAGAAATAATTATTTAAATATCACTGGATTTTTTATGTGAAGTCATCTGTATTCATTTGCATTGCTGCAGATTCTTTCATCTGTATTGCACTTTTTGAAACTTAGTGTTCAATAGATACTATCCCTATCTGGGATATAAGCCTAATTTTAGTGTTACTCCTTATAATATTGAAATGTCAAGTTTCTTCTTGTTTGTGAATGTATTATTTTGACATACATTTTCCCTAATGTTTCAACTTGTTGGCTCTAAATTTTTTTCCTTCTATATTCCTTTAAACCTTAAAAGCCATGATTCTCAGCTTGGGGAGCATTTAAAAAAATGCTAACACCAAATGACCACCTAGGGGTGGTATTGGCATGGTATTTTAAAAAGCTGCTCAAGATGATTCCAGTGTGCAGCCCAGTTTCACAACTATTGCAAAAGACTTGTATCACTAGTTCACTGGTAACCCTTGGGACCGACATTTATGTGTCCATCCTGTTAACATTGGTTTTGCTGATAAAATAGAAAAGTAGATTGAAAAAACTCCAAGAATAATAGATGAAAGGAAAAGAGCCTTTTCTTTCTTAGGCCTTCTGAGGCAGTGCTTCTCCGTTTTGGCTGCCATTAGTCATCTGGGGACCTTCTAAAATTCCCATTGCCATTGTCTCACACAGATCAATTAAACTAGAATCCCTTGTGGCGGTACACAAACATCAGCATTTTTAAGAATGTCTTCAGATGATTCTGGTGTGCAGCCAAATTTGGGAAACATTATAAAGATACTTGTCACCCCCAAATCATAAATTGGTGATCCTTTGATTTGAAGTGATAAACTACCTTGGGGCCTCCTCCCCTCCCCCCGCCCGAGACAGAGTCTTACTCTGTCACCAGGTGCCAGGTTGGAGTGCAGTGGCACAATCTTGGCTCACTGCAGCCTCCGCTTCCTGGGTTCAAGCAATTCTCTGCCTCAGCCTCCCGAGTAGCTGGGACTATAGGTGCGTGCCACCACGCCCAGCTAATTTTTTTGTACTTTTAGTAGAGACGGGGTTTCACCATGTTAGCCAGGATGGTCTTGATCTCTTGACCTCGTGATCTGCCCGCCTCGGCCTCCCAAAGTGCTGGGATTACAGACATGAGCCACTGTGCCCGGCTGGGCCTCTTTTACCAGCCTGCAGACCCCTCTGCATAAGTAGGTCTCAAAGTGTGAACCTGCAGCATCAGCATAACCTGGGATACTTGTTAGAAATGAAAATTCTTGGGTCCCACCACAGACCTATTGAATCAGAAACTCTGGTGTCTGTCTTAATAAGCCATTTGGGGCTGGGCACAGTGGCTCACATCTGTAATCCCAGTACTTTGGGAGGTTGAGGTGGCAGATTGCTTTGAACTTAGGAGTTTGAGACCAGCTTGGGCAACGTGGTGAAACCCTGTCTCTACAAAACTTAGCTGGGTGTTGGTGGCTCACACCCATAGTCCCAGCTACTCAGGAGGATGAGGCTGGAGATTTGCTCGAGCCTGGGAAGCAGAGATTGCCGTGAGCTGAGATTACACCACGACTGCACTCCAGCCTGGGCAACAGAGTGAGATCTATCTCAAAAAAAAAAAAAAAAAAAGCCTATTCAGGTAATTCTGATGCATGCTGCTGATCTATAGCACTGGATATGGGTGAACTCTGCTATGTTTGACTATGATGTACTACATTTGTATTTACTTTTAACAATTCAAACTGGGATTACTTGTTTAGAATCATATATTTGGATAACATGTGACTTCTCTAATATGCCCCAGAAAACAGCTAATAACTTGCTCAACCTGAAATTTATAGTTTTCCAAATTACAGGTTGGCAGAGATACTGAATTGATAACATCCACAGTTATGATATAATCATTCCTATGCTGTACAACAAAATGATTTTGGTTAGCAGAATTTAATAATAATTTAACTGTTAACAATAACTGTTAACTATGTACTAGGCACTGTTGTAGCCACTTTATGTTCTTCATGACACCTTATGAGATAGTTACTATTATCTTGATTTTGCAGATGAGGAAACTGAAGTACAATGAGGTATCTTCTCAAGTTCACACAACTAGAGAGTGGTGGCACTAGAATGGGAACTTAAGCAGTCTTTCTCTGAAGCCTGTGCTGGGCTGCTTCTCGATGGAGAGTAAATCTGTTTTACAGTGTGTGTAGTATGGAAGTAGCATAATAATAACAACAGCTATTCCTTATTGAGCCATTACTGTTGCAGACACTGTAAGATAATCACCATTATCTCATTTAAATCTCTTAGTAGCCTTATGAATTAGAGGTATGTAAATGCTTCCTCCTCTCCCAACACCTTTACAGATGAGGAAACTGAGCCTTAGAGGTGAAGAAAGTTGTCTAATGACAGAGTGCTTGTAAGAAATAAAGCCAAGACTTGAACTTGCAATTATTGGACTTTTCCTAATGAGTTATGGGAACTAATATAGCACAGTAGCTGAGGATCCAAGTACTGAAACCAGAAAACTTGCCTTCAGATGCCATTTCTGCCATTTGAGCTATGTACCTTGGACAAATTAGTCTCATCCTTTCCATTTGAAAGTTAGACATAATAATGTGTTCCTTAGAGGTTTGTGAGGATTAAGTGAGGCAAGCATATGTAAATGGCCTGAGCTCAGAGCTTGGCTCATAAGCCCTCAGTAATGATCACTGCCAATTTTTTTGTGTGTATAAATAAATACACTGTTTCCCCCGTTTCCATTTTTTAAAAGACATTGTATAGTGAATTTATTGTTTTTCTCAGATTAACAATTGCACACAGCACTTGAAATTTAGAGACATTTCACCTGAGAAGATATCTAGAGGTTGAAAGAAAACGTGCTGTGCATATGATTTGAAAATATGCTATTTAAAAATAAGTTTACCCTATTTTTATCTTTTCTGGCACCTATATATACCATTTAATAATAACAAGGACATTTCCATATTGCAGATAAGTGCATGGTACTTATGTAATACTGTGGAAACTAATAAATTATAGCAATTTTTTTCTTGCCAATTTTATTGAGATAATTTATATACAATATATCCATTTAAAGAGAACAGTTTATTGGCTTCTGGCAGTTGTATATACCCATAATTGCCGCCACAATTAAGACACAGCGTTGATTATTTCTAAGATTCCTTGTGTCTCTTTCCAGTGCATCTCACTAAGTTCTATGTAACCACTTTGCCCAAGTCTCTAGACTATCTTGGATGTGGAGTGGCTTTGTGTATGTTTAACTTTTGAAGAAATTACCAAATAGTTTTCCAAAGTGGTTATGCCATTTTACATTCCCAGCAGCAGAATATGTAAGTCCTCCATATCCTTCTGCATTTGGTGTTGGCAGTCTTTGAACAGTTTTACCTCTTTGTGGATATGGAGTTACATGTATTGTGGTTCGTATCTCCCCTATGACTACTGTTAAGCAACCTTCCATGTGCTTATTGGCCATACGTATATCTGATTTGGTAAAGTATTTGAATCCTTTGCCCACTTAAGAAATTGGGTAGTTTTTTCTTATTGAATTATAAGAGTTCTTTATACATTCTGGATACAAAGTCCTTTGTCAGATATTGCAATGTTGTAACCGTTTTAAAAACAGTATTTTGTAACTAATAACGTTAGTCTAGTACTTTAAAAACAGTATGACCACCGTACTAAGAGAAGTTGCCCAAACTGCTAAACTTGGACATCTGTCAAGGGAGGCCGCTACTTTTGTGCCCTGCGACCAAGAAACCCATGCCATAAAACCTTATTTACTCTTAAAAGCCAACAGAGATAATATAGCTTAAAAAATAACAAAAACTCCACTATGTATCTTTGTTGTTGATGTTGCCAGCAAGCTGTCTACCATCTCCCAGGGACCCTCTTAAAATCAAAGTTAAAACCTCAACATAGGAACGCCGCGATCAGGGCCCCATTGGGCCATTTTGGAATATCGGGCAGGCATCTTCGAAGTATTCATGTCATTTAATTATCTACATGACGCCCTTTAGGGGATAATAAACGTCGGGCTTTTCTGTTTGGCTTTGAACCAGTGTCATGAGGCGGAAAAGACCCTACCAGAGAGCGGATGGTACCGGGTTCCCGGTGTCACCGGGGCTGGGTCACCTGCAAAGCTGGACGCCTGCTGCGCATGCGCCCCACAGCCGCCGGGTTCCTCCTGCCTGGAAGAGGGGTGGCGTTGCCACGGTAACCGCAGTAAACGGAGGCCTCAGGCGGGTACTGCGAAGAGAGGAACTGCGGCGGCGGTCCGTGCCTTCGGTGAGTGGATCTCAGCAGCCCGCAGTTCCCACACCCTCCCCCTTAAATCTGTTTATGACTCAGAGGGCAATGAACCCCACTTGTGCTGCTCTCAGGCTGGACCAGTGTTCCCCAGGCTGTGCTGAAACACAGCCTTCGTCCTCCC